CTTGCGGCAGGAGGGCACCCCGTGCCGGCGGGCATGTCGTGTGACCCCCCTCGGGGGAGCCCCTCGGGGGTGGAGCCCACGGAAGCCCAGCGGCGCTGGCGTGGCCCCGGGTTGGCCCTGTGACCCCCAACGGGGCTGTGTGACCCCGCGTCGGCCGTGACCGCCGCTCCAATACTTAGCACTTGTGACGCGAAGAACATGTACGGCGCTGTATCTATCTATATCTACATATAGACAGATAGAACTATACACATACAGGCCTCACACAGCGACAAGTGGGAGAGAAGAGCACAGAAAAAAACAGATTGAAGGCCGTGCAACCCCCAGGGCCATCAGGATGCCGAGTAACGCAAAAACATGTCGGACAACCAATCCCCCACAGGCACAATTTGCGTAGCGATTGGTTGACTGATCCCCCACCTGGCACGTCCTCACCAACGACAATGGCAGCATGGGGAAAGTAAAGTAGGATAGAGATACTAGATGCGTAGGTGGAGAGGGGATGCGTGCAGCGCGGCGAAAGATGATGATGATAAGGAGAAGTTCCCCAAACAGTACTTGAATTTACGAATTCTCACTTCAGGTCTAAGGAACGGGGCGGCGTCGACGGTATGGCGGCCATGTGGCCGCCATCGCTGCCCCGTCGCCGCCCCGTCGCCGCTTCGTCGTCGCCAGTCGTCTGGGAACCGTATTGTAACCGCATTCCATGGCGCTGTATAGCATTCGCGTTGCATTGCAACCGCACAGTTTGACATTGCATCGCATTGCATTGCACACATTGCTTTGCATTGCTTTGAGCTGCTCTGCGTTACTGTGCATTGGTTTGCGCTAGATAGCATTGCGTCGCATTGCATCGATGTGCATTGTTTTATTTGCGTTGCTGCGCACTGCTTTACATTGATGCGTACTGAGTTGTATTGAGTCGCCTTGTTTTGCATTGCTTTCACGTTGCGTTGCTTGGCATTGCTTGGCATTGCTCTGCCCTGCTTTACGATCGCTTTTGTTGGATTTCCTTCTCCAGAATTCCAGGAACTCCTGGACGCTCAGAGGGTCCCCGATTCCTCCGACCGATCGCTGACCAACGCGCCAGGCTACTTTGTTCCTCTTGATCGGATTCGAAAAGGGAGAAAAGGTTGACGTTATTTTGACCTCTCCTTTGCCCGTTGGAATTTCGGATGACATTCCGTCACGCCACTGTACGGAACTGGAGAGGTCCAGCGAGGTTTCGCCGCGTTGCCGCCCGTGCCGCCATGTTGCCGCCTCGTTGCCGCCTCGTGCACGGGGTCCAGCGAGGTTTAGCCACGCTGCCGTGCCGCCTCGTTGCAGCCTCGTGCGCGGGATGGGTTCAGCAAGGCTTCGCGACGCTGCCGTCCGTGCCGCCTGGTTGCCGCCTGGTTGCCGCCTCATGCGCTTGATGGGTTCGGCGAGGTTTCGCCATGCTGCCGCCCGTGCCGCCCCGCGGGTTTCGCCGGGTGCCCGCCCGTGGGCGCCTCGTGGGCGCCCCGTGCGCCGGGTGGGCTGTGCCGAGGCTTCGCCCGGTCACCGCCCGTGGGGCGCCTCGTGGGCGCCCCGTGCGCCGGGTGACTGTGCCGAGGGTTCGTAGAGCTTTCGCCACCTGGCTTGCACCGCACAGCCTGCACCACAAGCATCACACAGCATAGCCGGCATCGAGTACCTGACACCCCACAGCCTCCACCTCCAGATCACGCCGCCCAGCTTACACGACGTGGCTGACACCACGTCACTTACACTGGAATGTGTTCAATTCCGTCGCTCACGCGACATAGCTGAAACCCCATAGCTTTGACCTCAAGATCACACCGTCTAGCTTACGCGACATAGCTGACACCACATAGCTTACACTGTCTAGACATGGCGTAGCTTATGAGACATAGCTGCCATCGCATAGCTTACACCAAACAGCTGTCACCTCCACCTGCAATAGCGCACTATTTGGAGTCCACGATGGGTAACATGGCAAACTGCTGAAAACCAGAGACAAGAAAGGAGCAGAGCGCAGTTCAAAAAAAGCCTGCCTCAAACTTACCGGCGACGAGGAGCGCGGTGATACCCAGCAACTGAAGAGAGACCGATGAACACCGAAGGCACGTGCCATGCAGACTGGGAAGATGTCGCGTGGGCGCTGGCATGGTCAAGCTGCATGATGATGTCCATGAGATGCTGAAGCGAGGTACTTGCACACAGGGGGGAGATGCGGCATGCAGAAAACGAACCTCCAGCTCTGAGCAGAACTACATTCCCAAACGAACAACACAACTTGCGTTGACAGAATACAGTACGAAGTCCCGCAATACACATGCTTGTCAGGAACGCAAGTGGGGGCAGTACGAATTGAGAACACATCGCGAGGCAGCTGAGTTTGGTTTGGGAAGCCTTCGCTGAGTGTTCTCCCAACCTTAATGAATCCACAACTGCTCACGCTGTCAACCCATCAAGAAACATCCCTCACCTGCAAGTGCCGTCTTGCAGTCGTTCTCTTTTCCAGGAAGCGGTCCTGCGAAGCACATGCAACTCTAAACGAGTAACTACTCTGCGGGAATGGAAAGATAATAGTATTCGTGTGTGCACGCAACAGCTTGTGGGTCGCCCTGAATCCACACACACACACTAATTTCACCGAAAGCTCGGATCAGCAAATGTGGTACTCATACCGCCCATCCGATCATCGCTCGAGGCATGCACGCTCGAGTCTGTAAGCTAGCAGGCAGCAAGCGATGCTCTGAAGAGGGACATCAGAAACAAGCACGATCTCCCCTCAAGCCCCTCCCTTGTGGCCCATCGATCCACTCTTGTCCTCCATCCTGCCCTCCCCTCCCTCCCTAACCCTCCTTCTCCCCTTCCTCCTCCTGCTCCATCTCATCATCTGTCATCATCATCTCTCATCATCGTGAGCATCGTCACAACCATGATCATCATCATCATCATCATCATCATCATCAGCATCATCATCATCATCATCATCATCATCATCATCATCATCATCATCATCATCATCATCATCATCATCATCATCATCATCATCATCATCATCATTTTCAACAGCAGCATCAGCATCATCATCATAATCCACTTCGTCTGCTCCTCACCATCCTCCTCTTCAATCCTGCCTCTCCTCCCACCCGCCTCGATTTTCACCCATTCGCTCTCCGCATCCCTCCTCCTCCTTCTCCCACTCCCCCTCCTCCTCCTCCTCCTCCACCTCCTCCTCCTCCTCCTCCTCATCCTCCTCCTCCTCCTCCTCCTCCTCCTCCTCTCGACCGACGGGCCCCGATGGGCTCGACGCTCACCTGGCAGAAAAAGCGCGACCCTTCCTTCCCGCACAGCCCCCCCGGTCCGATCCTCCGCCTCCTCCCCGGGGCCCCGGGCCGACGGCACACCCCCTGTGGCCGCGCACTGCGGCCCGCAGACCGCCGCCGACCCCCCTGGAGCCTCGCCTCCTCGAGTCCTCCCGCGGCCTCCAGGGCCCCCCCCTTGCTGCGCTCGGCGGTGCGCACAAGGGGGTGGAGGGCGGGGGGGGAGGGCTTCTCCGAAGGAGGCTGGTTCCTGGAGGGCGGCGGCCCTACATCCTTGGAGAAGGCCCGCGCCTTCTGAGAAGCAGGGGTGCTTCGAAGAAGCCCTCCCCCCTCCCCCCACGCCCCCCTGCGTGTGGCTGACAAACGATAGAAGGACCACTGACCCCCTTGGAGGGGACCCTCGGGAGACGGAGCCTTTTCTGCAGATGCATTAGGCCGCACCGCCCCTCAGATGTATTAGCTAGAGGCCTCCTAGATGGGGTCCGAGTAAATCGGGTCGAAGGATCACGCCGCACCGCCCCTCAGATGTATTAGCTAGAGGCCTCCTAGATGGGGTCCGAGTGACTAGAGTCGACGGATCATGCCGCACCGCCCCTCAGATGTATTATCTAGAGGCCTCCCAGATGGGGTCCGAGTAAATAGGGTCGAAGGATTGCGCCGCACCGCCCCTCAGATGTATTAGCTAGAGGCCTCCTAAATGGGGTCCGAATAAATCGTGTCGAAGGATCGCGCCGCATCGTCGATACATCGGCGATGCATCGCCGATGCATCAACGATGCACTGGCGACGTCGCCGATGCATCGGCGACACCGGCATGCAGAGAATTGGGCTCCACGTCGAGCCGCATCGCCGATGCAGCGGCCACGCGGCGCGATCCTCCGACCCCATCTGCTTGGACCCCATCTGGGAGGCTCCGGCTTCAAACCCAGAACATTTTTGTTGTCCGCTTCGGCGAGCCATGTTTACCGGCTGCCACCCAAAACCGCCACGGCCCGCTCATGGACCACGGAGCTCTCCCGGCATCCACCCTTACCTGGATTGCCGCGGTGGTTGCTAAGGGGATGGGGGGATAAGATGTGGATGCTAAAATGGGTTGCTTCTGGCCTAACACCCCTTTTAAGTAGGTTGCAAACGCTCTGTGGCCTAGGATGATGGGGTAACTCCGCTAAGTGGGCTCCGCCCACTTCGCCCAAATCTGTACGCCCTTGAGCCACTTCGGGCACGTGCAGCCCACTTCTAAGCTGGGTCCTGCTAGATAGAAGCCACCTTAGCATCCACTTGTACTTCCCTATCCTCTTAGCAACCCCCGTGGCGATCCGAATAGAGGCCTCCCTGATGGGGTCGGAGAATCTCGCCGCATCGCCGATGCATCGGCGATGCATCGTCGATACATTGGCGATGCATCGGCGACGTCGGCGCTGCAGCGGCGACGCCATGAAGCCACATCGCCGATGCATCGGCGACGCGGCGCGATCCTCCGACCCCCTCTGTTCCGACCCCACATGGGAGCCCTAGAACCCTGTCCAGCTCCTCGAGCAGAATGCAGCCGCGGCGACGGGAACCTCAACAACAACAAGACGACCGACCATCTGAGACGACCACCGAAGAACGAACAATAGTTCAACAAGCGCATACAAACTGTCGGAGGACCAGGCGGACTTTCTGGATCGGCGCTGGGCACCTCCCCGGCGTGCAAGCCGCGCCGTGGGCGGCGCCGAAGCTGTCGCCAGGGGGTCCAGCGCCGATCTGGGAAGTCCGCACTAAGCTCGGGAAGTTTGTGATGATGCTGTTGTTAGCATTCCAGACAACAGCGACGGCGTTGTCGGGCGAGCAACCTGTGCACACAACCTGTGTGGGCGTGCCCCTTCTTTGCTGGCGCCAGGGCTGCGAGGGGCCAGTGCGGACGCGCCCACAAGCACGAGCCGACCAGCCAGCACCCAGGCGCCACGGGGGTGGTCCGTGATCCCAACCGCCAGGAAGAGGGTCTCTGGCCTCAGCTTGTACCTCGGCTGTCAAGACTCCGAACCCCGCTCCCCTGTGCCCGCTCAATCATCCCTCTTCCCCTCCTTGGGCGCGCGTGAGTGTGCGTGTGCGTGCATGCGTGCGTGTGTGTGTGCTTGTGTGTGCTTGCGTTCGCGTTTGTGTGTGCGTGTGCGTGTGAGTATATTGTTGCTGACCTTGTGGCGTCTGCGGGCCGACCTTGTGGCCTCTGCTCTGCCATCGCGTTGTATAAGCTCTCTCTCCTTGCGCCTTTGCTGGTTGGCGCTGCATGGCCGTGCATGCCTCTTTGTTCAAACCAGGCGTATAGCGCTCTCTCATCGACACTGTTTGGTGGTCGGAGGTTTGGCGGTGAGATCGCAGTAGGACGGAGAGCACTACTAGCGGCACAACCACATATTCATATTGCGATCCTCGTGGGAAAATGCTCAAAATTCCTCTCGCGTTTAAGGTACCCCACAGAAAGGTTCTAGAAGTAGTAGCCGTCGTAGTCGTAGCCGTAGCCGTTGCCGTAGCCGTAGGCGTAGTCGTAGTGAGAGTAATAGAATTGTAGAAACATAAAAACGAGTAGCAGTAGAAGTAGAAGTAGACGAAGAACAAGTAGTACTAATAGTAGTGGTAGAAGTGGTGGTGGCATCAGCAGTAGTACTAGTTGTAGTACTGGTAGTAGTTGTAGTAATAGAAGTAATAATGGTAGCAGCATAAGAATAATAGTAATCGTAATCGTAATCGTAGTCGTGGTCTGCGTAGTAGGAGTAGTAGTGGTAGGAGTAGTGTTAGGAGTAGTCGTAGTAGTAGTAGTAGTAGTAGTAGTAGTAGTAGTAGTAGTAATAGTAGTAGTAGTAGTAGTAATAGTAGTAGTAGTAGTAGTAGTAGCAGTCGTCGTTGGACTGGAAGTAGTAGCAGTAGTGGTGGTAGTAGAAGGGGTAGTGGTAGAAGTGGTCGTAGTAGTAGTGATAGTAGTAAAGTAGTAGTAGTAGTAGTAGTAGTAGTAGTAGTAGTAGTAGTAGTAGTAGTAATAGTAGTAGTAGTAGGAGTAGTAGTAATAGTAGTAGTAGTAGTGGTAACACTGGTGTTGGTAATTGCTGTAGTCGTCGTAGTACTAGTAGCAATAATATAGTAATGGTACTAATAATTGTAGTAGTGGTGGTAATAGTAGTAGTCGTCGGAAAAGTTAGCCGCACAAGTAATAGTAATCGTCGTCGTCGCTGTCGTCGTCGTCGTCGTTGGCGCAATAGCCCGAGTCGTAGCCGTAGACGTAGTAGTCGTAACAAAAGTACTAGTAGTCGTAGTAGTAGTAGTAGCAGCAGTAGTAGTAGTATTATTAGTAGTAGTTGTAGCAGTAGTTGTAGAACATAGTAGTAATTAGAGTAGCAGTTAGAGTAGTAGTAATAGAAGTAGAAGTAGTAGTCGTAGTAGTAGTAGTCGTAGTAGTAGTCGTAGTAGTAGAAGTATGTCGTAGTAGTTGTAGAAGTATTAATAGCCGCAGTAGAAGCTATTGTAGTAGTAGCAGCATGAATATTAATAGTAGTAGTAGTAGTAGTAGTAGTAGTAGTAGTAGTAGTAGTAGTAGTAGTAGTAGTAGTAGTCGTAGTAGCAGTAGTAGTAGTAGTAATAGTAGTAGTAGTAGTAGTAGTTGTGGTAGAGGTAGTGGTAGTGGTAGTGGTAGTGGTAGTGGTAATAGTAGTAGCAGCAGCAGCAGCAGCAGCAGCAGCATTAGTAGTAGTAGTAGTAGTAGTAGTAGTAGTAGTCATGATGATAGTGGCAGGAGCAATGATAGTAGTCACGACCCTAGTCCTGCTAATTCCCTAATCCTCTTCCACCTCTTCAGGAATGACACGCGGAGTAGCAGAAGAAGGTTGAGCAGAAGGAGGAGGAAGAGAGGGAGGAGGAGGAGAAGGGGGAGGAGGAAGAAGAGATGGAGGAGGAGCACCAGGACAAAGAGAACGGACGAGTCGTAGCCTCCACCGGGAGAAACAGGGGGCAGAGAAAGAATAACTAAAAACTGACTGCGTATATCTCTCCTCCCCCGAGTTGGCCGGGCCGGAGGTGGAGGAGGAGGTGGAGGAGGAGGAGGAGCTGGTGGAGGGAGGAGGGGCTGAATGAGGAGAAGGAGATGGGGCGACGTCCGGCCGACCGCGCGCGCTGAGCGTGGCATCTCCAGCGCATCGTGAGAACGAGAATGCGAGAACCGACCCGTGCGAACATCTGGCGGCGGCAGCCCGCGCAGGGCGCGCGTCTGCGCACGCCGCCCCTGACCCCCCCTCCCCAATGGGCCCGCGGTGGCCCCGTGTCCCGTGGTGTCCCGTGGGGGCCGATAGTGATATCGATAGCGAGATCGATAGCGGTGACGATTAAATGAGCTCGATAGTGAGATCGGTTGTGAGATCGGTAGTGGGATCGATGGTATGATCGAAAGATGGATCGACGGTGAGGTCGATAGACCTGTACACACACATATATATATATATATATATATATATATATATATATCGAGAGAGAGAGAGAGAGAACAAAAAATAGACTTAGGGAACCGATCAATAATCGATGATGCGCTTTTGTGGTGTCCCGCGGTGTAGCCTTGTGTGTTGCTGCGTTGTGTCTCGCGGTGTCCCGTGACGATGGATCGATAGTGCGACTGGTACACACTTGAGTCAATACTGGAGTCGATGGATCGAGGCCCCATGGTGCTCGGGGTGTCTCGTGGGCCGATACAGCACAGCAGCACCATCACCCCAGCATCGCCGATGCAGAACAACGGGGCCATCACCATCATCACCCTCGTCACAGCAGTCTGGCGCGAGCACTCCAGGGCAGCCTCCGCGCAGCATCACCCTCCGCGCCCCTGTCGCCGAGGTCGAACGCCGGAGGGCGCGTGCCTTCCGCCCGGCTCCTGGCTGCCAGGCTCTGCCGCAGGGCCTCGCAGGGAACGCCAGAGAGTCGTCGCGCAGCAGACTGGCTCAAGCTCGCCTGCCGCTGTGCAAGAATGCATTCGGTGATCTGGCGCGCCACGTGGATCGAGGCCAAATAGATGCCGCCTCCTCCGGCCGTGGAGGTGGCACCTGCTTGCCCGCGATGGCGGCGGTGACGCAAGCCCAGCTTGGCACTGACACGGGTAGATAGATAGATAGATAGCGGGACCCATTGCGAGACCCATTGTGAGATCGCTGCGCAGATAGTGGGATCGATTGCGCGATGGATAGTGAGACCCACGGATAGTCAGATTGGTAGACAGATAGTGGATCGCGATGGTGTCACATATTTGCCCCAGCTGTGTCTTCAGGTGCTCCGTCCGATGATGTGTCGATGGTGTCCCGATGACGTCCCGATGCTGCCCAAGTGGTCTCACCAGCGTCGTCATCACGCATCGTCGCCGACTCGTAAGCGCATCACCCGCATCGTCACAATCAAAATTGTCTCAGTTGCCACCGGTTGCCCCCATATGGGTATCTATGCTTGCAACTCGAACTGTATGGATCTACATCGGACTGCATCTATGTACTCCGGGCCACGTCTCTGGCTTCGCCCCCGCAAGACGACTGGAGACGAATCGTTCAGCTCTCAGGGTCGGGAGCGTTGCTTACCGCGTCGCGGCGGCGACCCCTGCGACGCGGCGCGATGCCTTGCGAGCGGACAGCGCGTCGCCTCGCTCCGCGGATCGGGGCGCTGGGAAAAAACGCGATGACAGTCTCAGGGATGCGCCCTCGAAAAATAAGGGAATCTTTGAGATCGACATCGGGATGAGGCGATGTCAAACATCTGGATAGGGATATGTTTCAAACTGGTAGGAAGAGCTCGCGACCTTGACGCTGGGAAGTCGGGGCGTGGACCACGTGTGCCGCGCCCGCGGCGTGGTGGGCCAGGGCTGTCGGCGCGACACATTTCTTGAGCCAAAGTTCGTGCCCGCGCCCCAGCGGGACGACTGCAGAAAAGGAGGGCAAGAGAGGGGCCAGCCGGCACTTCTTGTGGACGTCCACGAGCCAGTCCTGCCCTCCAGCCCCTCCCCAAACAAAAAAACAAGAGCGCGGGCAGGGGGTTGCGAGGGGCCAGGAAGCACGAGAGAGCGTGTTCTGCTCCTCCTCCTCCGCCTCCCTCCTCCTTGCCCTCCTCCTCCTCCTCCACTTCTTCCTCCTCTTCCTCCTCCTCTCCCCTTCCTCCCCCACCTCCCCCTCCTCCTCCTCCACCTCCTCCTCCTCGTCCTCCTCCACCTCCTCATCGTCATCATCATCGTCATCCTCAGCATTATCATCATCGTCATCGTCATCATCATCATCATCATCATCAGCATCATCATCATCAGCATCATCATCATCAGCATCTTCTTCATCATCATCGTTAACATCATAATCAGCAGCATCCGTATCGTTACCATCATCACCACCACCACAAACATCCTCATCACCATCATCAGCATCAGCAGCACCATCATCATCAACATCATCATTATCATCACCGTCATCATCCTCATCGTCGTCATCATCAGCATCATCAGCGTCAGCACCATCATCATCTGCAGCATCAGCATCAACATCCCCGTGGTCATTATCATCATCATCATCATCATCATCATCATCATCATCATCATCATCATCATCCTTATCACCATCGACCACCATAGCATCCTCATCATCATCCTCATCATCAGCATCATAACCATCATTACCCTCATTACCCTCCTCATTCCCCTCATGTTCCTGATGTTGCTACGCGTTCTCCGTAGCCATTCGGGCTCAAAGTGCAAAGTTCCCTCTCGACCACACGGATACCGCTGAGCCGAGGCAGACGACGTGTCTTTGATCGGGAGGGCTGGTCCGCCCCAGCCTTCGCCTGCCTCCCGCGTCCGCGGGTGATTGGATCTTCGACGTTCCGGCCCGCGCAGCGACGCGCCACACCAGGACGAGGGCCGGAGCCGAGACCCGTGGGTCTGGAGGGGGCAGTCCGCCACCCAGCACTGGAGTGATCCAGCAGCTCGCTCTCATAGGGTCGAGCAGCTCACTGCACTCTGAGGCCTGCAACGCCTTATGAGCCTCCGATGGAGTCATCCATAGAGTGCCCGTCGTGCGGATGCGCCAAAACACTTGGGAACATGGATCTGGGCAAGCATTGTGCTTTGCGCCTCGCAGTGACCAGCCGGCGGGTGCGAAGCCCAGGCCGGATTCGGGGAAGCAGGTTCGTCGCAAACGGTTGGCGAGTAGTGGTGTGTCTTCTCTTGCTCTTCCGGATGGCAGCCCCAACGTATGTCTCAGTCTCGACCAATTGGGAGCCGAAAAGGTCAACAAGACGCAGATCCTGGCAGCCAAATTGGGAGAGAATGACCTGGGGAGACGTTGCAAGGATCGCGAGGCCCTACTGGTCAAGGAGTCGGCACCTCCCAGGCCCAGGCCCTTGCAGCTCCACCTCGCTGCCGTCTCACGTGAAAGGAACCGCCATGTCGAGAAACTAAAAAACATTGGACAAAATGGATCGCCAGGAACAAGCGATGCAGGAGCACAGGGACCGGATTGCCCAGCCAAGCCTCTAACCGGAGGAACGCATGACCAAGCATGGCGGTTTGGCTGCCGAGCTTCGCGCACCGCAGCAGCAACAGCCCGCCGTCAAGTCTGAGCCGTGCCCAAAGCTCTTAACTCGCTCTTGTCAGGGGGGATGCGACAACTTGGTCATCGACACGAGCGATGCGTTCACACTCCCCAAACATGCGGTCGTGCAACAAGCTGCCTTGGCTGGGGTGGAGCGCAGGCAGAATGAGCAGTCAAAGGTCGCTACATGGCGAAGGAGTTGTTCGACCAGGCTGAAGCATGTTATTGATATTGTCGGGGCACTCACACCCACCAGATCGAGGAAGTGGCCCCCAACAGAGACATCATGTGCAAATGAGGCCGCTGCCCCAGCGCCTGCAGCGCCGGCAGCTGGCTCATCGAGCTCCTCCGGCGGAGGGGGGGGTGCACTGGGCGGCACCAGAGGTGCTGGGGCAGCTGCGGAGGAGGCAATGGCCAAAGCCAAAAACCAGTGCCTTGCCCAAGAAAGAAGGCAGCAACACAAGAGCGGGAAGGGAGAAACTGCGATCCACAGTGGGCCGCTCACCGGCCCGCAAGGGCGAGAGGGTCTCCCCGAAAGGTTCCAGGCGCTTCTGTGACCGGCTGGCTGGCCAGGCTTCCAGGTTGGTCAACTCGCGGTGGATTGTTGTGGAAGATCAGCCGCGTCCGAGTCCATTTCACCTCCCCCTCCCTACCCGTCCCTCCCCCTCCTCCTCCTCCTCCTCCTCCTCCTCCTCCTCCTCCTTCAAACTCCTAGCTTCTCCTCTCTCTCCTCTTCCTCCTCCTCCTCCTCCTCCTCGTCCTGCTCCTCCTCCTCTTCCTCCTCCTCCTTCTCCTCCTCACCCCTCACATGTTTCGTGGCCCCATGGGGAGCTCCACCGAAGACCTCATCGGCTGCGTTCGCAACCCGCCCCCCCTCACTTTGGTACACCCCTCATACGTTCCGTGGCCCCAGAGGGAGCTCCACCGAAGGCGCCAGTGGCTGCGTTCGCATGCCGCTGCCCCCTCACTTTGGCACACCCCTCACACGTGTCGCGGCACACCCCTCACACGTCCTCCCCCCCTCCCCCTACTCCTCCCCCTCCGCCGCCTCCTCCTCCCACTCCCTCCTCCTCCTCCTCCTCCTCCTTCTCATCCTCCTCGTCCTCCTCCTCCTCCTCCTCCTTCTCCTCCTCTGCACCCAATCTGCAAAGATCGGCCGTCATCTCGAATCGTGCCATCGTATCGAGCTGGAACGAGCCTTGGATCGTGCGGCATCGGCTCAGATCGGCCGCGCCTGGATACACAACGCAATGCTGCCCGACAGTGTGGGAAATGTATTGCTGTACCTCCCTGGTGCCCCTCTTGCCCCCGGCCCCCTCCACGAGGATGGCGCGCATCTTGGAGTTCACGTGGGTCTGCCAGTCCTGGGCAGGGGGTTGGGGGACGGGCAGGGGAGAAGGACGGGCCAAGAGCAAGACGAGGAGAGGGATTCTCCGTCTCCCTCTCTCTCTCTCTCTCTCTGTCCCTCGCGCGCTTGTGCGCGCTCTCGTGACACGTACGGCGAAGAGCGAGGCCACTGCCTGCCGGATCGCGCGAGCGCAAGAACAACTGGGGAGGATGGCGGCCGCGCTGACACGCGGGTGCGGGTCCGCCCAGAAGACAGGGAGGGGGGGGTATCCTTCCCCGGGATTGATTCTGCACCAACTCGCTGCTCAGTTCATGGGCATCGCTCCCGACTAGGCTCAGGACGAGGAAGGGGAGGAAGGACGAGGCGGAGAAGGAGGAGGAGGAGAGGCGGCGGGAGAGGAGGAGGGGCTCGGGAGGCAAATTCGTGAAGCTCGACAAGGCGTGTCGACCGGAGAGAGCTGGAACCTGGGAGAGGAGGTTGTCTTGCATCCTCGGGGCGGCCCCTGTCTGCCCCGCCGCGGCCCCATCCGCGTCGAGTCCGTGCCGCTTCCATGTCGGACTCGTCGGATCCGTGCCGAAGCCGTGTCGAAACCGCGTCGGCTCCGCGCCACATCCGCGTCGCGCCCGCGTCAAGCCGGCGTCGGGCACAAGGAAAGACGCCAAAAGTCTGGGGGCAGGCGGGGCCTCCCGAAGATGCAACGGAAAGGAGGGTGATCAGCGCCCTCGGGGCGGGAAGCTGAGCAGGGACAGACCGTCCCAGCATCCCTACAGACCTACCACGACATGCCCTTAGAGCCCCAACATGCTCTGAGAGCAAGATCTTATTAGAACTCCAAACCTGCTTTCTAAGAGCAAAACCAATGTTCTCAGAACAGAGACCCGAGGCACTGAAACAAGACAGTCTCAGCCAGAAATGCTCGAACAACCGAATTACAGTTCTGGCAGACGACAAAAAGGTTCTTAGAACATCATTTGGTGGGCCTGTAGGCGAGCCGAGCCAGGACGCTTCGCCACTGCCTGAAGGGGGCGGGAAGGCTCCCCACTAGTTTCAGGACCCGGCCTGCACCAATTCGCAGTCCGCTCAATTTGTTCTCGGTTCTGGCGTGCCCGCTTCTGGGACACCACGCTGCAGCCCTGAAAGCGGAGGAGGAGGAGGAGGAGGAAGAAGAGGCGGAGGAGGAGGAGAAGCAGAAGGAGGAGGAGGAGGAGGAGGAGGAGGAGGAGGAGGAACAGGACGAGGAGGAACAGGACGAGGAGGGCGAGGAGGAGGAGGAGGAGGAGGAGCAGGACGAGGAGGGGGAGCAGGAGGAGGAGGAGGAGAAGGAGGGTGACGGGGGGAGGACGTGTGAGGGGTGTGCCACGACACGTGTGAGGGGGCAGCGGCATGCGAACGCAGCCACTGGCGCCTTCGGTGGAGCTCCCTCTGGGGCCACGAAACGTATGAGAGGTGTGCCAAAGTGAGGGGGGGGCGGCATGCGAACGCAGCCGATGAGGTCTTCGGTGGAGCTTCCCATGGGGCCACGAAACGTGTGAGGGGTGAGGAGGAGGAGGGAGGAGGAGGAGGAGGAGGAGGAGGAGGAGGAGGGGAGGAGGAGGAGGAGGAGGAGGAGGAGGAGGAGGAGGAGGAGGAGGAGAGGAGGAGGAGGAGGAGGAGGAGGATCGCTGGCCAGTGGGGCTGCAGCCCCGCTGGGGAGAGGGGAAGCGGCACCACCGGCCGGCGCATCGGGGCTCGGCAGGCGGCGAGGGAGGCGGGGGGGTCGGGCTCGACCCCGGAGGCGGAACGGAATGCGTGGCACCCCGCACTTTTCCGTCAGCGGCGAGGCGGCGAACTCCGCTCCATCGAGAAGCTAGATAGGGGCACTGACTAGCGAATTGGCCGGCGAGCAAGGAGGGGGGGGTGGGGGACGGCCGAGAGGAAGGTGACACCCCGCACTTGTTCCCGCGAAGCAAACCTGCTGGCACCCCGCACTTGCGGATGGGAGTGTCTGTTCCTGCTGCCCCTGCGGTCGACTCACGAAGCGCGCCGCCGCCGAGGAGAGGAGGGACAAGGACGAGGAGCGGAGCGGAACAAAACGGACGACGGCGCCAGTGCCCATGGCTCAAGCGGCCAGAAGAAAAGACCACAACGGCAACACAGTAGGCGCGTGCGGATGAGAGTGAGGGTGCAGCGGCGCCTCTCGCCGAAAATTTTCGCCCCTGGACCCCCCGCCCAGGACCCCCCGTCGAGCAGAAAGGGGCCCGCAAAGGCCGCGCACGCCCAGGGATGAGGCAAGACCGGTCGGGCACCCTCACTCTGACCGTGTCAGCCAGGAGGGAGGGCGCACGGAGCTGCCAGCCCTGGGTGGCGGCACCCGGAGCCTACCCCAACCAACCGTCGGTTCCCCTGAACCGATGGCAGGCGGGGGGGGGGATCCGGACTTCGCCGCCGACGCTCGGGGCCGCAGGCTCGGACAGGCTGCAGCCTCGGAGACGTACAGCCACCGTGCCTGCCACGAGGGGCGCACCACCAGGAGCGAAGGGGCGTCCCTGGCCACGGCGAGCCGCGGCCGCGAGCATCGCTCTGGGGGCCCAGGTCCAAGGAGCCCCTCCCGAGCCCAGAGCGGCCCTTGTCTCTATCAGCGTCTCTGGACTGTGCTGGGGGCGCGAAGGCACGAGGGGAAACGAGACGGAGGGACTGGCTCGGGAGGGGGGGGCATCGAGCTGGAGTCGGCGATACGTCGCAGACAGGTCGGCGACAGGGCCCCCCCATGGCCAATCCGCGAGTTCCTGGGCAAGGTGGGCTATCGAGCCCCCGTCAGTGCTGAATGGGCGATTGGGGGTCGACGCATCCTGAGTCTGTCCCCCTCGAACGTTACCCCTTGAGGCAGAGCCTGCGCTGGGGAGCGGTGTTCTCAGAGCGTCCCCCCCAGATAGCATGACTGCGGGACTGCGGGACCACAGCCTCCAGGGTCCCAAGGGCAGTAGCATCCTCCACTGCACTCCTCCTTCTCCTCCTCCTCCTGCTCCTCCATCTCCTCCTCCACATCCTCCTCCTCCTTTGTGACGTTGCTCGGATTAGGTCCTCCTCCTCCTCCTCCTCCTCCTCCTCCTCCTCTTCCCGGCTGCTGCCTGCCCGCTCGTTTCTCGAATGAGCCAAGACACTGCCAACCAGGGCTCTGGAAATTCCACCTGGATTGGGGCGAAGCACAGAGCATGCGTCGAGCACCCACGGCAGCAGATATCCTGGGCACGCCAGGGTCCTGACTTATCCAAAAGGTCTCCGTGAATGGCTCCCCGAATGCTTCTGAAGGTTCCCGTCGCCACGGCCAGGTGCAGCGCGAAAGACTGGCCATATAATCATGGACCCCCGGGGTGGGGGTCTGGGGACCGACTCTTGGCGGTTGCTGCTGAGACTCGTGCATAACCGATCCATGTTCCCACTGGCATGGCCTCGGCCCCAGTGGCCGACGCACCACCCCAAGAGAGGGACACGTGCCTGTTCCTTCGGTTTCCACTGGGGCCACCCCATCTAGGAGGGTGGGCTGGTGGGGCTGAGAGACCATGGCTCCCTGGGGATGGTGATGGGTTCGACGATGCTGATCTGCAGCAGGACCCTGACCCTGCTCGCGCTGGACAACGCAAAGGCTGGAGGAGGCTTGGGCCGTGCTCGGCAGACCCGAGAAGGGTTGGGCAGCGTCTGGCCTCGGGGGGTCCTCCTCGGGCCCCTCGGCCGTCTCGGAGCGGCACGAGACGAGGCGAGGGCCCTGAAGAGCGGGTCGGGATGACACGCCCTCGACGCGTTGCAAACTGGATATGTAAGCATACGGATGAGCAGCAAACAAGAGACCACGTGGTGGGTCTGGGATCGCACGGCACCGCCGATGCATCGGGGATACATCGGCGATGCCTCGGATGGAGGACGTCGGGCTCTAGGTCGCACCGCGCCGCCGATCTGGCGTTGATCGTGCTCTTGCCACGACGTCGGATCTCGCGACCCCCCCCGCCCCTCCACATCTGGCCCAGGGGCGGAGGGGCGAGGGGGGGGGCGCAGTCCAGGAAGGCCGGCTGCGGCTGGCAGTCCCCCTGCGGTCGGTAGCCGCGGCACAACCTCCTCCCCATCCTCCGCCTCCCTTCTCTCTCTCTCTCTCTCTTTCTCTCTTCCTCCCTCCTTCTCCTCCTCCTCCTCCTTCTTCTCCTCCTCCTCCTCCTTCTGATCCTCCTCCGCCTCCCTTCTCCATGCTCCCTCCAACGTTTCCCTCCTCTAGTTCCTCCTCCTCCTCCTCCTCCTCCTCCTCCTCCGCCTCCTTCTACTTCTCCACCTCCTCATTCTCCTCATCCTCCTCCTCCTCATCATCATCCAACCTCCATCTCCTCCGGCTCGAGAGGGGCTTCCCCAATAGATCATTCGAAGCCCTTGCCGAGAGTCATCCTGGCACGAGGGTGAACGGCGGAAAACGAGTCGAGAAAGTCCGAGCTCTATTGACCACCCCGCCGACCCCCCCCAACAAACAACAACGCCAACAAACAACAAGGACGCAAGAAAGAGCCCCCCGAGATTGCTCCTCATCTTGCTCCTGCTACCGACACCTGCCACCGTCTGATCCCCGAGCCTCCTTCCTCCTCCCCCCTTCTCCTCGTCATCATACAAATCCGTGTCCTGACCGTCCTCCTCCTGATCATGATCACCATTATCACGATCATCAAAAGCATCATCGCCATCGCCATCAACATAATCACCACCATCACGATCAACATCACCATCATCGGCATCATCAGCATCATCATCATCATCATCAACAACATAATCAGCATCAGCATCAGCATCATCACCAGAAGTACCAGCATCAGCACCAGCCTCAATCTCATCATACTCATCATCAGAATCATCATCAACATCATCATCTGCATCACCATCACTATCATAATCATCAGAGCAGTCTCGTCATCGTCGCGTTCCTCAGCCTCCCTGTCTTTCTCCTTCTCCTCCTCAGCATGATCATAATCAGCATCGTCATCATCCTCAGCATAATCATCATCATCATCATCATCATCATCAACACCATCGTCATCATCAGCATCATCATCGTCGTCGTGGTCGTCATCATATTCAATGTCAGCATCATTATCATACGTACCATCAGCATACTCGTCGTGGTACCATCATCATCGTTACCCTCATCACCATTGTCATCAGAATCCGCATCGTCATACTCATCATGATGATCATCACCGTCAAAATAATCAGCATCATCATCCTCACCAGCATCCCCATGAACCTGATCCAAATGCTCATGTCCATCATCCTCATCCTCATCATCATCCTCACCCTCGTCCTACCCATCAGCATCAGCATCAACAGCATCATCACCATAAACAACAGCATCATCATGATTCACATCATACATGTGGCCCTCGAGTTCGCCATGCGTCCCATCCTCATCCCCATGCTTCCCCTGTTCCTCGTGTTCCCCAGCCTCCCCGCTCTCCTCCTCCACACCATCATCATACCATCAACAACATCATCATCATCACCATCAGCATCATCATCGTCATCACCAGCATGATCATCATCATAATCAGCAACCACATCAGTATCAGCATCGCCATCATCCTCATCATCCTCCTAATCAACATCATCATCAACCTCATCATCCTTGTCCTCATCATCAAAAGCATCATGAGCATCAGCATGCGCAATCATCATCATACTCATAATCATCAGCACTATGTCCTCATCCACCTCCTCATTATCATCCTCCTCAGCATCAGCATCATCGTCATCAGCATCATTACCATCAGCAGCATCATCAGCATCAGCATCATGATTACCATTGCCAACATCATCATCAGCATCATCATCAGCATGAACATCATCAACATCGTCGTCATCGTCAACAACAACATACGATTTGGTCTTCATATCCGCCATCCGTCTCATCCACATCCCTGTGAATCCCCTGTTCCTCGTGTTCCCCGGCCTCCCCACCCTCCTCCTTCTCCTCCTCCTCATCATCCTCATCATCATCATCATCATCCCCATCATCAGCACCATCATCATCATCATCATCATCATCATCAGTATCATCATCATCATCATCATCATCATCATCATCATCATCATCATCATCATCATCATCATCATCATCATCATCTCCATCATCATCATCATCATCATCATCATCATCATCATCATTATCGTCGTCATCCTCATCAGTATCATCATGGTTATCATCATCAGCAGCATCGTCATCGCGATCCTCGTCATCAACATCATCATCATCATAATCATCATCATCATCCTCCTCCTCATTCTCCTCATCATCAGGATCGTCCCATATCATCAGCATCACCATCGTCCTCCCCATCATCTTCCTCAGCCTTCGTCCTCGTTGTTCGTGTTTCGCTGCGCAAGCAGGAAGTGAAGCTTGTCGTGGCTGCCCCCCGCAATCCGCCTCCTTCTCCTTATCATATTCATCCTCTATCATCATCCCTTCCTCCTCTTTCTCTTACTCCATCTTCCCTCACCCTCATCCATCGTTGTCTATCATCCATCCTTTGTGGCAGCCTCCTCCATTCCGTCCTCCATCCCCATGCTCCGCAATCCTCCTCCATTGGACTCCGTCGTGACTCCCTCATTTCGTCCTCCTCCTCCTCCCTCCTCCCTCCCTCTTTGATCCTCCTCGTCTTCCACCTCGTCCGCGCCCTCCACCTCACCCGCATCTTTCTCCCCCAAGCGAACTCAGAGGGAAGCCCCATGTGGGTAGATCCACGATGTCTCAGAAGGGGGTCGCAGATATAACGGCGCCAACCTCCAACATATATGCATACACAAACTATGCACAGAGACCTCCTCCTCCACACCTTGCCTGGTCTGGCCCGACCTTCTCTGAGGCCTGCCTCCTCATCCCTCCTCGACGCAACCTCCGTGCTTACCATCGTGGTCTCCAGCATGGCTTCGCTGTGGCTCGTCGAGGTACCTCACGTGCAGCACGTGCCCTAGATCGAGGCGCAGAAGGTCGCGCGCCACATCCCGAAGGCAGAAGCGAAGGCCCAGGAGCGCACTAGCGACCCCACCGAGCCCCACATCGTTGAGAAATCTTTCGACGTGCCGCAGGTGCAGATCCAGCTTGTGGACAAGCACGTCCCCCTTATCGATGTCCAGGAGGACGGCGCAGACGAGTACCAGAGGATTCGCCCGCAGCTCTTTCGGCAATTGGAGCAGCAGCTCGCGGAGATGCAGGAGCTCGTCAAGCACGTCGCCACGACTGCAGTGCACACGGTGGACAAGTTCGTCGAGGTGCCTCGCGTGGTGGCCCTTCCTGACACCCTTCCCGACGCCCTTCCCGACGCCCTTCCCGAGGCCCGGCGAGGGCCCCGAGAGGCCCAAAACTACGAAAAACCTCCGTCTCGATTTGTTGCGAGACGCCCGGTCGGAAGCCGGGCAAGGGCTGCTACATTCCGCCAGGCAAGGGCTGCTACATTCCGTTGCTACTTAAATCGACCTCCAGGAAGTTGCCTCCGTCCTTCCGGGAAGAAGCCCGCTGGCTGTCTCGCGTGCCGCGCCTCATTCCGGGGAGCTGCTTTTTCCCTCCGGGAGGGGCCGTTTCAGCAGCCACGGTCTGAGCAGCCCTCGCCCAGCTGTCGAGTCTGGGATCCAGCGCCCTCCGATAAAGCGCGGGGGCGGCGCCCCCCCGCGGCCGCCCCAAAGGCTGGCGGGCCCCGCGTGCCTCCCGCCGGCCCCCGCCCCGCCTCGCCCGCGTGCATCCGCATGTAGATGTCGGGGACGTACTCCACGACGTGCTGCGGGTCCTGGGCCGGGGCAGGGCTCCCAGATGGGGCCACGATCCTCGTGAGGGGTGGGCCGAGATGGCCCGAGGCCGCCACGCGAGCCCTGCCACCTGGGGGCCTTCGGCGGAGCTCCCTCCAGCCAGGGGGCGCAGAAGGGCACGCGCCTGCCATCCCAGACCTCCTCGCGCTGCGGAAAAAAAAACGCGACCCAAAGGCTTGCGCTATGTTCGGCCTCCGGGGGCCCCTGCAGGGCCCCTGGGACCGTCAAAAAACGACTCGGGACGAAAAACTGACACAAACTTAAAAATTCAGAGGTCCGCGCGGATTCCTGGGATCGCCATTGTTCGTTCCCCTAGTGCTCTCCCCCCACCATGGGGCGCAGAAGGACACACGAGTGCTATGCGATCACCTTACCTTGGAGGCGCACGTCTGGGCCGGGGCGCGAGCCAATGGCCATAGATGTCAGAGCGGTCGAGCAACTTTCTGGTCTGGGACTTCTCCTCCCGGGTTGCAGCGGCGGCGGCCCTGGCGACAGGCCTGGAAATCCACCTCCTGCCGCCTCCCTCACCGCCTACAGGCTCGGGGGAGCTCTTTCCAAACGCCGGGTACCAGCCCCTCCCAAGGCCAGGCTAACGGCAATGTTGCTGAACGGTGATTTGGGGAATCAAGCTGTAGGAAATCACGAGCCGCACTTTCCTACATACATTTCCAGTCTGCATGTGGATCGAACGAGAACGGCACAGCGAATCATAGGACATCACGAACCACTGTCCTACATCTCAAGCTTGCGAATGGGGATCGAACGAAAGCGACACGGCGAGTTGTAGGCAAGCACGGGCCACGCGTTCCCACAACACCAAAGCCTACACCGCCGTCGCCTATGTCACCGTTAGCCCGTCCACAGCTCCACCCCGCCGTGGGGCGCAGAAGGACGTACGAGGCACGATGCTACCACCTTGGAGGCGCACGTCTGGGCCGAGCATGCAGTACAAGCATCTTACGGTAGATCGTTACCCTCAATTCCGTACCGCGGAGGCCCGTCCACAAGAAACCTTCCACAAGAAACTCAACCCTGAGACCCCGGGACGTCCATGGATGCTTGGTGTGGGACCGTCACGCTCTCCATCGCAGCAGCACCATCGAAACCCGGGAAACCCAGTGCACCCTGGAGGCAAGCAGCGTGTCTCTTGGCATGGGCCTCCACTGTAATTAGGGGAACAAAAAGTGTCAGAAACATAAAAACTCGGAGGTCGCGCGGATTTCTCGCATCGGCGCTGGACCCCCCTCCCTGGCGCGCGGAGCGCGCCAGGGGCGGCGCCGGAAGCGCCGCCGGCGGCCCCAGCGCCGATCCGAGAAATCCGCGCAGACCTCCGAGTTATTATCCGTATGTCATTGTTCGTTCCCATAGTAATACAGAGTGTAGGGGGGGGGGAGCTTGTTGCCGTCCAAACGGGGCCGCGTCTCTGACCCCCCGCCGCCGTGCGCGGACGCGGTGGCACAGACCCCCCCCCCTGAGGCGCGGCGCCGGCACTCGCCGTACACGAGAGGGCGCACGACGAATGCCGGCGACAGAGTACCCATCGGGGACACGCAGGAGTGACCCTAGGCACGAGGGAACTTCGGTGCGCGGCCTTTGGGGGGCCGCGGGGGGCCCAAGCTCCAGCGCGCAAAAGACGCTTCCAATCGCGTCGCGCTCGGCGAGCCCGGGGGACCCCGGTGGGCCCGCACCAGAGGTCACTCTGGAGAAGGGTCGCACTTGCGTGTGCAGTGGAGGCCCGTCCGCAAAGAACCTCCCTCAAGAAACCCAACCCTGAGACCCCAGGACGTCCACTGATTCTTGGCGTGAGAGCGTCGCGTTTTTCATGGCAAGGCCATCGAAGCACAAGAAGCCCGGGGCGCCCTGGCGGCGAGCAGAGCGTCTCCTGGCAGGGGCCCCCACCGCAGCCGAAGCCGGGCGGGCCTGGCCAGAACGCGCGCCCGCCACGGATCCACGCGACGTCAGGCTTCCGAGAGCGCGCGCCTCGCCCCGCGGGCTGGCCGACGCACGCACCGTTAGCCGACGCGCGCAAGGTGGCCCATGGCTCCCCCAGATGGGGGGCTCACGAGAAGCTGCATCGATGCAGGCAGATGCTTTTTGGGGGCGTCTGCGAGCGGGCAATTTTGCGAGAAGTGGAGCGCGCTCGGTGCATGGTGTATACGCATGCCGGGGCGATGTCGGAAAAAAGGGGGGCGTGCGGTGGTCCGCCCTCCCCCCCCACCCGCCAGGAAGCGAGCAGGTCCCGAGGGACAGTGGGGCCCTTTGAAAGGGGGAAAGCAAACCTACCTCGCTTTTGACCACCCTCGCTTCCGAGAGATACCAAACGATGCCAAATTGCAGCCTGTAATACTGGTCAGGCCGCTTGACGAGGAGGCGCGTGGTATGGCTTGGTTTTGCCTGGAAGCGAAAGCGGGGTAGGTAATTCACGCTCTGATTTGAGGCTTGCTCCACCTTCGGCCTCCCCCACTCGCCCTTCCCCGGTACGGGGGGGGGCCGTCAACCACGAAGCGAAGAGGTGGGCCCCGGGGTCCGGGCCCCGGGGTCCAGGCCCCGTGACCCTCTGCAGGCCCCGCCGGCGTCCCGGAAGCTCTCCTCGGGCAGCCGTCGTGCTGCCCCGAGGAGCGCCAGACAGAGCCCGCAGTCGCGTGGCGAGCCTCGGCCACGCAGGGTCTATAGAGCGGAGGCACGGCCCGACAGCGCGGGCAAGTCCTGAACCCAACGTGGTCCCTACTTCCACGTCTTGGCTCCAGCCCCCCGGGGCTTCCCAAGGACCATGAGCCATGAGCATTCCTCGAGGTGGCTCCAGCCGCCCCTCTCACATTCCCGGGCCTGGAGGCTGCCAGACTGGACTGGTGACTACACGTCCCTCTCCACCGGGCGCGCCCGTGCCGCTCCCCCCCCCCAGGCCCCTCCCCCACGGATGGCCCGACAAGACCTACCTGAGATGGCCTCCAAGATTGCTCAGAACAGCACAAGATCGCGCCCCACGGTGCTCCATGAGGCCCCGAGGCCGCTCCAAGACGGGTCCAAGTGGCCGCGGAGTCACCCAAGGAGGACCACAAGAGGCCAACGTCCTCTGTGCTGCCTTCTCGCCTTCTCGCTGCCGACGGACCTTTCATGCTTCAAGGTAGCTCCAAAAAGGGCCCAAGGAGCCCACGAGGGGCCCAATACTGCCCCGAGAGAGCCCCACGAGCGCCCAAGAGCGCCCCGAGAGGGCCCCGCACATGCACCCAAAAGGCGACCTTGGGAGCTCAAGAGGGCCAAGTCGTAGTGAGAACCCCCCTGTCCGCTCAAAACCAGAACCACAACACAAGCAAACGAAACACTGGCCTGCCAAAAAGCCCGGCAGCTCGGTGGCATCCGTGGGAGGCGCTCGGGCCCGCGCGGCCCCAAGGTGGCCTCAGAGAGCCCAACATGGCCTCCAAGACGCGTCACGACACGGTGAGGGCTTGGATAAGGAACCATTGGATAAGGAATCCAGGGTCTGGAAACTGGTGGAACACCAATCGTGGAATGGCCATGGATATCACTGCCGACCTCATCGGATGAGGAATCCTCCAGGGTCTGACGCCCCCAGGCCACACTCCTTAACGAACGCCCCCACCGTGCCACGAGATGGCTCGAGATGGCCACCACTACGCCTCCAAGAGGCTCCACGCCCTCCTCCTCCTCCTCCTCCTCCTCCTCCTCCTCCTCCTCCTCCTCCTCCTCCTCCTCCTCCTCCTCCTCCTCCCCTCCCAAGCAGGTCCCCAAGGAGCCAATGCCCCTCCAAGGCCTGCTGCAAATCCGTGCTGCTGGCCATCTCGCCCTTTCTTTCCTCGTCCGAGGGGCGCTCGGGGCCTCCGGGTGGCCACACGGCCCTGAGGGCCCCCCAAAGAGCGCCACGAGGGGCCCCCACGAGGCGACCCGTGTGGTCGTCGTCGTCGTCGTCGTCGTCGTCGTCGTCGTCGTCGTCGTCGTCGTCGTCGTCGTCGTCGTCGGCCACACGGGTCGCCTCGTGGGGGCCCCTCCTTCGCTGACCGGTGTCTTCACAGATGGCCCCAGCGGGACCTCATCGGCTCCCTCCCACCGGGGACAACGAGGGCGCTGGCAGAGGGGCCCACAGGCACTCACCGCGGGAACAACGGCGGCGCCACTGGCCACAGCGGGGACAACGACGGCGCCACTGGCCACAGTAACATGCGACGGACCCAGCCCATCTGCCTACCGACCAGACCGCCCTGGGCCAACCCGAAGACCCAAGTTTCGGGGGGGGGGGGGGTACGGGTTCCGCGTGTGTTTTTCGATGTTCCCCGACCCCCCCTCCATTGGGTCTCGAAGGTACATTTGGGCCTTCGGGTTGGGTTGGGATGGTTTGGTGGGCGGTGACCATCTGCATCAAATGACAAGAAGCGGTGGCCAGACTTCTCCCGACGACGACGACGACAACGCAGGATCCGCCAGTGGCTCCAGATGCTACATGGGATGCGCGCACGTTGCGCGACTCTCAAGAGACCTGCACAGAGACGAGAGGGGAGACCCCAGGCTCGAGGAGGAATGAGGGCGGGAACGGTGGGCAGGAGATGGACGCCAAGGGGGCCGAAGAGGCGGGGCAGCTGCAGGGAGACGGAGGAAGGGAGGAGAAGACGACCACGAGGAGGCGGTGAGAGACGGGGTGGCGTCTTTGCCCACGGCACGCCGATCAGCAGCGCAGCCCGCGCCACTTCGCTCCGGTGCCTCGCAGGATGAACTGTGCATAACTGACGCACGAAACGGGCGAGGCCGAGCTCGCCCGCCAGACTCCACGGTTCAGTCCTGCACCTTTCAGTGCGGGGGCTAGACGCCCAGAGGCGCGCCGCAAGGCCTGCGGGCGGCCCGGAGCCTGGGGTCGCGTGTCATCGACCCCTTATACTGGCACCACTTACGGCCCTCGAAGGTGGCGACAGTCTCGCAGTTCGAACCTCCCCAGGGATGGCGAATCCAATCTGAATCTGCGCCTGGTAACCCACGACGCTGGCCCCCCCAGCAGCCTTCGAAAGTGGCGACAGTTTCGCAGTTCGCAGCCCCCCTGGGCTTGCGAGGTCCAATCTGAACCTGAGCCTGGCACCTACTATGCCTCCCCTCCCAGCAGCCCTCGAACATGGCGACAGTTTGGCTCGCAGTTCGCACCCACTCAAGGATGGGGTGGTCCCATCTGGAGCTGCGCCTGGTACCTGGCTTTGTGGATCACCCAGCAGCCCTCGAAAGTGGCGACTGGTTTGCAGCTCGCAGCCCCCGAGGGATGGCGAGGTCAAATGTAAATCCGCGCCTGGTAACCACTATTCTGCCCCCCCAGTAGCCCTTGAAAGTGGCCCCCGTTTCGCAGCCCCCCACAGGATGGCGAGGTCTAATCTGCGACAGCGCTACGTACCCACTGTTCTGCCCACTGCGTGCGTACCCACTTTTCTGCCCCGACTCAGCAGCGCTCGAAAGTGGCGCTAGCTTCACAGTTCGCAGCCCCCCCCCTGTCAGAAAATGGCGGGGGTCAACTCTGCATCTGCACCTGGCACCCACTATCCGATCCCACCCAGCAGTCTTCGAGAGTCGCGACCCTTTCGCAGTTCGCAGCCAGCAACCTTCGAACGTGGCGACGTCTCGCAGTTGGCATGCCCCAGGGCTGGTGATGTGACAACTGGATCTGCGCCTGGTACCCACCATGCTGCCATCCCGCAGCAGCTCTCAAAGGTGGTGACAGCTCGCAGTTCGCACCTCCCCAGGGATGGCGAGGTCCAGTCTGAATCTTCGCCTGGTACCCACTGTCTCCCCCCCCCCCAGCAGCCCTCGAAAGTGGCGGCAGATTCGCAGTTCGCCCCCCTCCCCCCCCTGTCCCCCCAGGGGTCTGGAAAGGTCCAACCGGAATCTGCGCCTGGTGCCCACATGTCTGGCTCTCACACCAGCCCTCGACAGTGGCAACAGTTTTGCAGCTCGCTCCCCCCCTCCAGAGACGGCGAGGTCCAACCTGAACCTGCGCCTGGTACCCACTGTTCTGACCCCCCTAGCACCTAGCAGCCCTCGGCCATGGTGACAAGTTCGCCATTCGACGCCCCCCAGGGGACGGAAAGGTCCAATCGGACTCGGCGCCTGGTGCCCACCTTTCTGCCCCGCCCCCCCCACCCAGCAGCCCTCGCAAGGGGCGACGGTTTCGCGGCTCGCAGCCCCTCGGGGCGGGCAAGGTCCAATCCGAATGAGCGCCTGGCCCCCCCTGCAGCCGTCGAACGTGGCGGCAGTTACGCAGGTCGCATCCCCTTGGGGATGGCGAGGTCCAGCCTGGAGCTGCGCATGGTTTCTGGCACGCCCCCCCAGCAGCCCTAGAAATCGGCGACAGCTTCGAAGTTCACACCCCCTCCGGGGATGGCGAGGTTCATTCTGAATCTGCGATCGCAGGCCCCCAAGCGAGCCACCAGGCAGGATGGCAAGGTGTAGGAGGCAGGAGACAGGCAGGAGGCAGGAAGCGAGAGGAGGAGGAGGGCGGGGGAGGCGGGAGGTGGAGACCGCAGTGCTTTACTCAGAACGAGAACTAAACGCGCGAGGGTTGGTGAAGCAGTGCCTCAAGACGGCCCCAAGATTGTTCGGAGATGCCTCCGAGAGTCTTCAAGAGAGACAAACCCGCGAAGGCCTTGACTGACGACTCCCGTCGTCATCTCGTTTTCTCCTCCACGATCCTCTTCCTCCTGATCCGCCTTCTCTTCTCTTCCCCGTCCTCCTCCTCCTCCTCCTCCTTCGGCCACCTCCTCCTCCTCTTCCTCCTTCTTTCCCTCTTCATCCTCCTACCTCCTCCGCCTCCCCCTTCCTCTCCTGCTACTCCCGACGAGGGTTCACTAGAAATCGAGAGGGTAGTCGTCCCATCATGTTCCTTCACATCATGTTGATCGCCATCCTCCATCCTCCTCCATCTCCCTCCTCATGTTCTTCGTGCTCGTTGGAATGCGCCGCGAAGATAGATATGGCTCACTCGTGGGCCTGGTCAAGTTGATCCGGGGAATCGGATTGACTCCCCCTTCTCCTAATTCCACTGCAAGCTGCTGAACTTCTCTCATCGCGGCAACTCGTCTGTGAAAATTTTGGATGGGCTGGTGGGGATGCACGAACCGTCAATAATTACTTGTCAGGTCGCCCGGCTACAGGAGGAGGAGGAGGAGGAGGAGGAGGAGGAGAAGGAAGAAGAGGAGGAGGAGGAGGATGAGGAGAAGGAGAAAGAAGGGGAGGAGCAGGAGGGGGGGGAGAGGAGGCGGAGGAGGACGACGACGAGGAGGAGGAGAAGGAGGAGGAGGAGGAGGATTGCATGATTCCAGGATTCTAGGACTGCCTCGCGCGCGCCCGGGGAGGGGCACGAGGTCTGGGGAAACAGCAAAAAGCCGACGACGAAGACGACGACGAAGACGAACGACGACGGCGAGGCCGACAACCGACCCGACGACGGACGAGCGAACGCAGCAACGCAGCAGCACGGACGACGGCGCCGACAACGGTGGCGGCGGCAGCCGCCCGCGCGGGAGGAGGAGGAGGAGGAGGAGGAGGAGGAGGAGGAGGAGGAGGAGGAGGAGGAAGAGGAAGAGAGGAAAAGGAGGAGGAGGAAGAGGAGGAGGAGGAGAGGAGGAGGAGGAGGAGGAGGAGGAGGAGGAGGAGGAAGGAGGAGGAGGAGGAGGAGGAGGGGAGAAGGAGAGGAGGAAGGAGGAGGAGGGGGAGGAGGAGGAGAACGAGGAGGAGGAGGAGGAGGAGGAGCGAAGCGAGCGAGAGACGCGTCTAAGTTGCCCAGACACGCCCTGCATGAAGAAGAAAGGCCCCGCCGCCGTACACCAACCGAGCTTCCGTGAGGGGCTCACACGTGGTGCCGACGGACGGGGAAGGGCCTGCCTGGGAACACCCAATGCGCGCCTGGGGCATGCAAGCAGCGGCCCAACCATCGGCGGCAGTGGGGCCCAGACAGGCCAGGCCCTCAGCGCTTGCCGTGCGCCTCCAGGAAGGCGCGCAACTGGACGATGGACATGCCCTCGACGAACGCGACGGAGGTGCCCGCGTGGGCTGACCTGATCTCCGCCACGACTGGCAGCGCGACGATCTGCGCGATCAGCTCCGCGCGCACGGCCGTGTCCGAGCCAGGCCCCTCAGCCGCCGCCGCAAGGCCAGCCTCCGCCTCCGCCGAGGGCCGCGCCACAGGAGCCGCCACCGCCTCCGCGGGCGCCGCCAGCGCCAGGGGGGCAGCCGCCACCGCAGCGGCCCGAGGCTCACCAGCGAGAGGAACATCACGACCAGCAGCGTCGCGCCGCAGGTCATCAGCCCACTCATCGTTGATGACGTCCTCGTCCATGGCGTCCGCCGCAGCAGCCGCCGTACGCTTCGCCTCCGCCAGACGCTGGCGGCGGCGGCGTCTCCGAAGGACCTTGCCCATGTTCTTGTCCTTGCCCTTGTCCTCGGAGTCGTCCCTGACCTGGACCTCGGCGCAGGCGCCCTCGGCACGTCCGGAGCCCGCAGGCGGCGGCGACGGCGCAGCGCGTGCCGAGAGCACAGCCGCGGCTGTCGCACGAGCCACAGCGGCCACCGTGCGCCTGGCGCCCTTCGCCAGGATTGCCGCGCGAACGGCCGCCTCCACGAGGTCGGCGCCGCTCGGCGCAGCAGGAAGAGCCCCTCTAGGCTTCGCCATCGCGCGCAGGAGGGCACGGGGCGGCACCTTGCGGTCGCTTGAGCCAAAATGAGGAGAGGAGGAGGAGGAGGAGGAGGAGGAGGCGGAGGAGGAGGAGGAGGAGGAGGAGGAGGAGGAGGAGGAGGGAGGAGGAGGAGGAGGAGGAGGAGGAGGAGGAGGAGGAGGAGGGGAGGAGGAGGAGGAGGAGGAGGGAGGGAGGAGAAGAAGGAGAGGAGGAAGAGGGGGAGAAGGAGGAGGAGGGGAGAGGAGGGAAGAGGAGAGGAGCAGGGAGGAGGGAGGAGGAGGAGGGAGGAGGAAGAGGAGGAGGAGGAGCAGGAGGAGGGAGGAGGGAGGAGGAGGAAGAGGGGAGAGGAGGAGGAGGGGAAAGGAGGAAGAGGAGGGAGGAGCAGGAGGAGGAGGAGGAGGAGGAGGAGGAGGAGGAGGAGGAGGAGGAGGAGGAGGAAGGAGGGAGGAGGAGGAGGAGGAGGAGGAGGACGAGGAGGAGGAGGAGGAGGAAGAGGAGGCCCACGCGTCCTCCCTGTTCAGGACGTCCGACTCCACCTCCATCGGCGCCGGCGAGGGCGCGGGGCGAGCGCATGGCCGTCCCGCGCTCGACGACGAGCGGCCTGGCAAGTCGGGCTGCGGGGGCCCCTCGGGCGGCGGGCCCTTGGGGACTGCACTTTTCTTCGTGCTTCGTGCCTCCTCCCTCCGCCCTCCTCCCTCCCCCCTCCCTCAACCATCCTCTTCCTGCTCCTCGTCTCCCTCCCTCTCCCTCCTCCTCCCCCCTCTTTCCTCATCCCTCTGCTCCTGCCCCTCCCTCCTCCTTCCTCCCTCCTCCTCCTCCTCCTCCTCTTCCTCCTCCTCCTCATCCTCTACTCCTCCTCTTCCTCATCCTCCTCCGCCTTCCTCCCTCCCTCCTCCTTCCTCCCTCCTCTGTCCTCCTCCTCCTCCTCTCCCTCCTACCCTCCTCTCTCCTCCTCCTCATCCTCTCCTCCTCCTCCTCCTCCTTCCTCCTCCTCCTCCTCCTCTCCTCCTCCGACGTTTGGCAAACTTGGATCGACGGGGATGGTAGCGCCAAGTACTCCTCCTTCTCCTCCTCCTCCTCCTCCTCATCCCTCCTCTTCTCCTTCTCCTCCTCATCTTCCTCCTCCTCCGCCTCCCCCTTCCGTTCCTTCCCCTCCCTCACTCCCTCCCCTATATACCCTCCCTTCCTTTCTAATTATCTGCCTCCCTCTGTCTCTCGCCTGGCGCCGCGTCCTCGTCATCACGGTCATGAGAAGTGTCCACCACCACCACCAATATCAGCATCCTCAACATCATCACAATAAGCATCAGCAGCATCATCATCATCAGCAGCAGCAGCAGCATCATCATCATCATCATCAGCAGCATCAGCATCTTCAGCAGCAGCACCAGCATCATCAGCAGCAGCACCAGCACCAGCACCAGCGTCAGCGTCAGCATCAGCATCAGCATCAGCAACAGCAACAGCAACAGCAACAGCAACAGCGTCGGCATCAGCATCAGCATCAGCATCACCATCAGTATCAGCATCATCATCAGCATCAGCAGCATCATCAGCATCAGCATCAGCATCAGCATCAGCATCAGCATCAGCATCAGCATCATCATCATCATCATCATCATCATCATCATCATCATCATCATCATCATCATCAGCATCATCATCAGCATCATCATCATCATCAGCAGCATCACCATCATCATCATTACCGCCATCAGTTTCTGAGACGATCCCCCTCGGCAAGGGCCCGCGGCTCGCCGCGGAAGAGGTCCGAGGCGGTAGGTGAGCAAGGGTTCGCCGCCGCGGCCTGCGCTGGCCAGCTGCCCGGCGCTGCGTCCCATGTGCTGCCCGAGGTGGAACGGCTACGGCCGTCTTGCCGAGGGAAAGTACAATACGGTGGGGGCATTGGATCCGGAAGCCTTCGATCAGGAATCCGGGGTCTGGAGGCCAGCGGAAGAAAGGCAATCGTGGATTGGCCATGGATATCACCGCCGCCCTCATCAGACAAGGAACCCTCCAGGGTCTGAAGCCTCCTGGGCACGTTCCTCATCGAAGGCCACCACCACCACCAGGAGTTGGAGGGGGAGGGGGTCCTCCTCCTCCTCCTCCTCCTCCTCCTCCTCCTCCTCCTCCTCCTCCTTATCCTTATCCTCCTCCTCCTCCTCCTCCTCCTCCTCCTCCTCCTCCTCCCTCACTCCCTCATCGAAGGCCCCCACCGTAGGCAAATACGGCAGTAGGCTGTCCCCAGGCAGTGCTTGCTGTCAGGGGTCCTCACTTGCGCTCCTGCGAAAGTGGACGGGTCCGTCGAGGCTTCGCCGCGTCGTCGCCCGTTGCCGCCCCGAGGCTGGCCAATTAGGGAGAGGGGGGGTCCTCGCGGTGTCGCCGCGTCTCTCCGCCTTCCTCGCGTGGGGCGTCCGTCGAGATTGCACCACATAGCTTAAGCCACATGGCTTGCACATTATGGCTTACACCACGCAGCTTGCACCACGTAGACGGCATCACATAGCGTACACATACACAGTGCAATAACGGACTGTTTGGTGTCCACGCTGGCTCACATTATGAAAAAAAGAATATTGAAGCACAGTCTTCGGCGAAAGTTGAGAGTTGAGCCTCCTGAGGGGCCCCAGTGCTTCTGTGGGACCCCAGGGCCCTGGGGAGATACGAGACTTCCGTGGGGACATCTGCATGCAAACTGCTTCCTTATTCGGCGTGCCTACTGCACACCGGGCCATCGGACCCAAGGCGTGCTAGAATCTCCGGTAAGAGGCTGAGGTTGCCATGTATCGCCCTCGAGGGCGCGTGGGGCGGCACCTGTGGTTGTGGAAGCCATGACAATGAACACTCTGACAGTCGCACCTTTGGTTCAAAGTGTTTGAAACACGCGATAAATATGTTTACATCATGTTCTTCATGTCCAGAACATGTTGTAAACACTGTTTCATCCTGTGCCAGCGAGACTAGTCCCGCAGAGATAATGAAGTTCGGGGTCCAGGATAATAATACAATGTTTTAGGGGAAATGCTGAAACTGATGGGCGTGAACTCGGCGAATCTTCGAACGTGGGCGTTTCGCTTGAGACATCCTTTCTAACATGAGACTAAGGATTACTCATGGTGCTCTACATGATACGAAGATCAGAGCTACGATGCGAACTTTGAGGGTGGTAATAAAGTTCGCCCTCCCCCCCGCCTGTCGTGGCAATTTGAACCATATGGGAGCCCAGGGATGATCAGATGTAAGGGGTTAAGGGGGGTTCTGTATTATCGTCGGCGTGCGGTTAGATATCTGGATCTTTTTGCTGGCAACATGCCTCCTCTCTGTTGATCGTCTTCCACAACCCTTGCGGGTCCCCGGAGGACACATGTTAGGTCGGGCATTTCCTCCAACAGGCGGATTTTGAAAGAAAAATGGAAGAACAAAAAAAAGCAAACATATTCAAATGCATTCACAAATAATAAACATCGTCCCCTGACTACTGTTTTACAATTTTTTGATTCCCCTCCTTCAGAGGGACACGCCCGAATTCAGACAAATACCCCTGGGCAGGCCAGATCAGAGATGTCGGAGCTCACCAACGAGGGCGCCTGGACCCCCCGCAAGCAACCAAAAGCCCCGGGGCGCCGCAGGGGGAGCTCCGGGGCGGCCACCGCAGAGACGGGCCAAGGACGCTCCGGGACTTGGCGGCCCGCACAAGGGAGTGGGGGGATGGGGGAGGGCTTCTTAGAAGCAGGGGTGCTTCTAAGCAGCCCTCCCCCCTCCCCCCACCCCCTCTGCGCGTGGCTGAGGGACGGCCCAAGATGGCTGCAAGAGGGCTCAAGAGGCCCCGGAGACGACCCAAGACCCAGACCCCACCGAGCTGTGGAAAAACACGACGGGAGGTTTTCGCTATTTTCGGCCTCCCGGGGGCCCTTCCCGGGCCTCGGGGCCGTCAGAAAACGACTCAGGACACGAAACTGGTCCCTGGGAAGGGGCCCAGACTTCCGAGGGGCACGTCATGACAAAAATCACGACGTCGGGTGTCTGGGAAAGGCCCCCAAGAGGGCCGCAGGGCACACGCAGAACATTGGATTCCCCCGGCCATGGTTGGAATAGTGCAGCGTGCTAGATGTAGGCATGCGGCTGCTGTCCAAGGGCCCGAGAGGCCCCAGGGAGAGCCTCCGAGGTGAGGCTCGCCCCCACGAGGCCCCCCTGAGAGGCCCCCGAGGAGCCCGGGGAGGCGCCTCGGAGAGGCCTGCCCCCCCCCCCCCCCGGGAAGTCCCCCCCCGGGAGGCCCCCGAGAAACCTCGAAGGAGGCGCCCGATAGAGGCACCCGGAGGGCTCGGTGCCGGGGTGCGCGGAGGAAGCGTCGGTGGGGGAGCGGTGCGTTGGCTGTCGCCTTGCAGCTGCCCTGCCACTGTCTTGCGGGGGCGCGCAAGCATGGACTAGCGATCCGCGGATTTGGCGCGCGGTCGCCAAATCCATGGATCGGCGGAGGTGCCCTCCCCACAATGCGGCTGGTGCCGCCTCGCTCGGCGGCGGAAAGTCACGACTTCCCATGGAAAAGGGACCCGTCGCTGATCCACGCCCCCCTGATCCATGTCTGCGATCGCCTGATGTTTCTGCCCCAAGCGAGGCTCACGCGACAGCTCAGGGAAACGACTGGCACCCACGAACCACCTTCTCGGTCCCCGCGACGCGCACAGGCAAGAAGTGCCAGCGATGATGCAGTAGGGGCCGGCGGACTGAGCGGAGCGATTGAATAAGCATCACCACCACACATACAATCATCCTGCTCCTCCCCCTGTTGCTGCCTCTTCGTCCTCCTCCGCCTCCCTCATCATCACTCCTCAGTATCATCAGCATCAGCATCGGCAGCATCATCATCAACAACAACATCAACGTCAGCATCATCAACACCATCGTCGCCGCCATCGTCATAGTCATCGGCATCCTCATCATCATCACCATCATCATCGCCACCATCCTTATCCTGTTCCCCCCCTCGTGCTGCCTCAACCTGCCCTGCCTCCTACCTCCTTGGGCGTCTCCTCACACGTCTACCTCAAGTGAGCTCGTGTGTGCCCCGAATCGGTAGTGCTACTCAGTGTTGCGCACGTCGGCGTCACATAATCATGCGCGCCGTGAAGTGCGGGGGTTCAGGGCAAGCTTTCTGCAACATGACAGACCTCCGACAGAGGCACGATGCACGCCAGACAGTCCTATCAGCCTGCCACGCCGAGCGGCTCCTCTGCCTGCGGCGTGCGCGCTGCGGGCCGCCTCACTCCACTGTGTAGCCACACGAATCACGTGATGCCGTCGCGCCAGCCTTGGAAACCGCCCGCCCCTGCCTGCGCTCCGCACGGCTCGCTCCCCGCGGGGCGGCGCGCCCCGCTCTCTCGCAGGCCTTGCTTTCGGCATCCCCCGCCTCTGTCCGTCATCCTGGAGGGTTCCAAAGGGGGTTTGGGGGGAGGGGGTTTTCCAGAGAGCCGCCCAGGGGCCTTGGAATCTTGTCAAAACAGGAGGTGCGAAGCCCCTGGGGGACCCCTCCTGGAAAACCCGCTCCCGAAAACCCCCCTTGGAGCCCCCCGGTCATCGAGAAAAAAGGAAGCAGAGCAGCCTATGCCGGATGGTGTCGCCATCTGCGCCACCAGCGAAGCCGGAGCAATGCCGCTCGCCGGGGCTGCAGCTCCAGCGGCGATGCCTCCCCCCGTGTTGGCTGCGAGCTTGTCGCGCACACGGCCTGCTCCCAGGTGCTGTCCACGTTCCCACACCGCCACGCCTCCCTCCGTTAGGCTCGCCCCCAGGATGGCTCGCCCACATTCCATGGCATGGTCCCATCATTCCCTCCCCCCGTCCCATGCGATGCACAAGCGATGCGTATGGCTAACGGGCTAGGCCGAGAATTTTCAAGAGATAACCTGCATGGAACAACCTGTGCACGCACGCTGCACTCAGATCACAAGGGCCAGGCGACCTTCGCCACATGAAAAGTCGGGCACGGGCTGCGCTGCACCAAGAGCCCGCCCCGCCACCTGCAGGCTTCTTCGCGGAAGTAGCCCCCGCGCCTTAGCAGAGAACGAAGGATCACATGCTCGTTCCCTTACCACACCACTTCCCAACACGTGCTCTACAATCGGGCCTAGCCCAGAAGAACCTGCTTCAAGAAAATTAGACCCTCCACCGGCCAAAACGCACAGAACATCTCAGGGTACCCTCATCTGGGTGCACATGAACATCCAACAAATACGAAGAACACGAGGGTACCCTCCCCGAAACGACCTCGATCTTATCACTCGGTCAGCCTGCAAATAATGGAGCCAACGAACAAAACACCCGTATCCGCTTTTCTGGGCGCCTCCGTGCGCCAGGGGGCGACCATGAAGGGCCGCCGGCGGGGGACGCAGCCAGCTGCACGCAGCACGTCTCACACCCTCTGTTTCCCCACCCATCCCCTGTGACGCGAGGCAGGCTCGCACTACGTCACGGAAGTGATGTGGACGTGAATGGAACTGATGGTGTTCTTTCTGTTGCCTCTATGCCGTCGCCCTCGCAATCACGCACCTCAAGGTTGTGCAGCCCCGGCCTGAAGCTTGTGATCGCGAATTCGGCCCCTGACCCACCTCGAGCCATAGGGCGGGCTCGCATCCTCGTAAAGGCAGGCATGCTGAGTCCTCGAGAATCCAGCGGCCCCGTCGGCGCGCGCGAGGGGGAGCGCTGGCCTGGCCGTCCCGGGATGGTCCTGGGAGACGCTCTTGGAGTCGGAGCTGATCCTCCCTCCGTGCCCAGCAGCCACCTCTGGCTCCCACACCTCGCCAGCCCGAGGTGAATCGAGCCGTGACCGTGCTCGAGTCGACGAGAGGCCCCTTCCTTGGGATCCCTTCCCCGCGGGGGGGTGGGGGGCAGTCGGTCCCTGGGGGGTCTGGAGGGGGTGGGGGCCGGGACGGCACGAGAGGGCACTACGAGGCTCCCCACGAAGGCTCCAAGAGGCTAAAAAAAAATAGTTGCCGTAGGGTTTTCAATGACTTTGGCGCTCTCGCCAGTTCGGTCTCCCAACGCTCCAAAACGACCCAAGAGGCCCACAAGCTCATTCCAAGACGGTACACAGGGAACCAAAAAGAACCAAAAACGGCCCAAGAGTACCCAAGCAGCCCCCAAGACGGCCAAAGAAAGCTCCAAGAGGGTAAACATGATCTGGCATGTCGAGCCCTCCACCCCATGATGACCCCCGAGACAGCCAGCAGAACCCCACGAGACCCCTACTAGGCCTCGAAGACGCCCCAAAGAGGCCCGCAAGAGGCCCCCGAGAGGCACCAAGAGGTCCCCCGATAAGCCTTCATGCATTCAAAAGGCCTTTGCCTACGGCCCCTTGTCTCCGTGCCGAACATGAATCGCCGTCTTCATCCCTGATCAGGACCACTCGCCTGATGATGTTTTGTTTGATGGGCTCGTGGGGACAACCGCGATATGCCTTTAGAACCCGGAAACTATTTGACGGAGTGGGGCCCCACCAAGAATGCTAAATAACTATTTCTCCGCGGCACCCGTCGCACGACAACGACCACGACTGCGACTACCACTGGAAGTACGACTACTACCACGATGCGACTACGGCTACGACTACGACTAAGATTTCGACAACTACTACCATGACTACTACTACATATGAAGAAGGAGATTGTGAGCAACGCCTTCGTCGAAGACTGTATCGATCTATACTGCAGTCCTCTTACAAACGTGCTCAAATTCCTCTGTCGTGTAGGGCAGCCCAGCGAGCAATATACCCTGGGAGACAGAACCCCCAACATTATCCAGCGCGCCGAACATTAACGGAAAATGAACCGGTGGCCCACGACACGAGGGCCGACGACGAAGATGTGCATGTACCGGCATAACTTGTAATCGTACTAAAACTACAACGAGATGAAGGAGGAGATTGTGAGCACCGCCTTCAGCGATGAATGTGTCGATGTTCATGTTCATCCTCTTACAAAGGTGCTCCATATTCCTCTGCCGTGCAGGGTAGCCCAGGCAGCATAACTCGCTGGGGAAATGAGCCCCGAAAAATTGTCCCGCACGGCGAACAATAGTGGGAAACGAACCGGTGGCGCAGGAGGAGCAGGACGAGGAGGAGCAGGAGGAGAACGAGGAGGAGGAGGAGGAGGAAGAGGAGGAGGAGGAGGAGGAGAAGGAGGAGGAAGAAGAGGAGGAGGAGCAGGAGGAAGAGGAGGATCAGGAGGAAGAGGAGGAGGAGCATGATGAGGATGAGAAGGAAGAGGGAGGAGGGGGGAGGAGGAAGAGGAAGAGGAGGAGGAGGAGGAGGAGGAGGAGGAGGAGGAGGAAGGGCGGAGAGTATTCCCCGCCGAGAGAATGGGGGGGAGGGGGGGGTGCAAAACTAAAGACCTCCCTCGGTTACGATCAGCGTCAAGCGGCTGTGGTCGCCAATGGGCGGCACAACATGTGTTCCCCAGCTGCGGTTGAGGTCGCCCAGCTCTACCTCTGACGGCCCCGGGAGGCCCGGACGGGGTGCCCCACGGGCCGAAATCGGAGCAAAATTCTTAGATTCGTCGTCGTCGTCGTCGTCGTCGTCGTCGTCGTCGTCGTCGTCGTCGTTGTCGTCGTCTTAGCATCGAATCGGGCCACATCGGCACGGAGCTGGAATGCAGTCGAATCGGCCGCGCCAGGAAGGACGACAGTGCCGTGCAAGCACAAGACCGCATCGGATCGTCGGAACAACGGAATCGAATCGGACGGGGCCGGCCCATACAAATATCGAATCCCACCGATGGAATCGAAAGAATCGTGAGTCAGATCTCGGGCGGCCGCACTGGACGACCCGGACACCCTCGGAACGCTCCCGGCGAGGGAAAGCGGCTGAAACGCATCCCGAGGCAGGAATACCTTCAGGGACCTAGAAAGCGTCTGAAAACGACCCTCGATCGTCGTCGTCGTCGTCGCCATCGTCGACTCATTTCAAAAAAGAAAAACGATTGCTGATATAGGGAAACGGTTCCCAGCGCTCTCGGCTCGACGCCAGTTACAGTTCCTTTGAACGCGAGGCTCCTGCTCGAGCGTGGACTTTAGGGCAAATCTTGGTTGTTGAAGGCCCATCTACGACGACAAGGGATCCCTCTCGATACCTCCTCACAATGTACTCCGAGACGCCTTGGCCAGAGAGGCCCCAAGACTCTGGAAACGAGATCTCGCAAGAACCTTCCTCACTATTTGTTAAATCAGTGACGACCCAGCTGCGGCGACAACGGCTACCGCTCGATACTTCCTCGCATTTTACTCCGAGACGCCCTGGCCAGAGAGAACCCAACACTCAGGAACGGCGCTCTCGCTTGAGACTGCCTCTCATCTCAATCAGACTGTTGAGCTACCCGCGGGCAGGTTGGCTCGCGTGACGGCCATGTCGGCGCGGTGCGCATACACAGTGCGCTGCTGAATGCCTCTCCCAGGCGCTGTCACGACACGAGGCCCCCCAGACAAAAAAAATGATTTGTCCACAGACCCAGCGGGGGGGCGCGAGGGAGAGGGAGAGACAAGTCAAGGCCAGAGCAGCTTGTCGGATCGCATGATCGCAAAGATGGCAGGAGAGCCAACCATCGGATCGATAAGCCGGATCTGCAATCGGAATGAATCGGATCGGCGGAAATCGGCAGCCGACTCGGGAAAAATCGGATCGGCGGAAATCGGCAGGCTAGCGGCTAGCAGGTCTCCGTTGTCAAATCAGAACCCACATCGGCATCCGAAGCCGAATGGAATCGAAACCGGAGTCCATCGAAGTGGAATCGAATCGAATCGAATCGGAGGAATCGAAATGGGCCCTGAGATGGTCGTTGTCGTCGTCGTCTTTGGTCGTCGTCGTCGTCGTCCCGCGCCCCTGGCGCTGTGCGCGGGCGGCCGGCGGCCGCGGCCGCGCGCGCGCCTGCGAGGGGCTCCGCCGCTCTCTTCCACTGCGCCCAGTGCTGCCCTCGGCGCAGGGCCAGAAGGGCAGAGGAGGCCATGAACGCTCCGGCGCCTCCTCCACCTCCCTCCACCTCCCTCTCCTCCTCCTCCTCCTCCTCCTCCTCCTGCTGCTCGTCCTCCTCCTATTCCATCCCGTTTCCTTGTGAATCCCCCCCCCCCCTGTCCAGCCCGGGACGTGTTGGTAGGGCGGGCCGGGCGCTGCGCCTGACATTTCCTCACCACACATGGCCCTGAAGCTTGAAAGTTGCAACAGCTTCCCGGATGGAGGGCGAGTGGTGATCAAACTATGGCTCTCGCCCTGGCACCGCGCACCTTCGTTTTAAAAGCTTGCAAGAGTTTGACGTATTGAGGCGTGTGTTTTAAAAGTTGTTCGCGCTTGAGCACGGCGCACAGTCGCTTGACACATTGCAATCGGTTCAAGGATGCAGGACCAGTGGGATTCAAAGTGTGGCTGTCGCTCAGGCGCCGCGCACTTTCAATCGTTTGAGGACGCTGCAACAGTTGTAAGGAATTGTATGTCTGGAGGCCACAGCCTGGTGCTCTGACACGGTTTAGTCGCGTGAGGACGCAGTAGTCACGTTGTCTCGCGGTGTGACGGTCCCAGGAATGGTTTTCAGACGATCTGGATTGTCAGGGCGCATCAGTCACGTTGATCCGCGGCGTGGAAGTCCCGAGAATGGTGTTGGCACGAATGAGGACTCTCAGACGATTGTTTTAGCGCCGCCCAGCTTCGTCTTCGAAGTGTGCCTGAAATTCAAGGATAGAGGGAGGGTGAGTTTTAAAAAGTGGTTCTCGCCAAAGCGCCGCGACAGTTCGCTTCAAAAAAGCTGCAAGCACTTGCCAGATGGGGAAGGGTCAGTTTAACAATGTGGCTCTCGCCTTCGCATCGAGCACATTTGCTTCAAAATTTACAACCGTTTCGCGGATTCTTACGGCTGACCTCCCAAACATAACGGTCTGGCACGATTTCGGATTGTCCGGGCGCAATTGTCACGTTGATTCGCGGTGCTGACGTCCCACAAATGGTGTTCTCGCTCGATACAGGATCGTCAGGATGCAACCGTAAAGTTGCTTCTCGCCGCAGAGGTACAGAGAGTTCTGTTTTGGCACGATGGAGAGACTCAGACGGTTGTATTCCGACGGGGCATCTCCAGCAGTGCAACTGGATGCCTGTAGGTATTCAGAGAGAAGTTGGAGGAAGGGTTGATTGCAACATCGTTGACGCGCATTGGGCTTACACTGGGCTCCTCCTCCTCCGTCCCCTCCTCCCTCTTGAGCGATTGGAGCCGGACATCCTCTGCTTCTTCAACCATGAATCCTCCAACTGCTGCTGCGCGACGGGAGCATACCCTCCACCGCTTCCCTGGCCTCCACCGCTCAGAGCAAAAACTCCTCCTCCCCCTCCTCCTCCTCCTCCTCCTCCTCCTCCTCCTCCTCCTCCTCCTCCTCCTCCTCCTCCCTCTCCCGAGCGATAGGAGCCAAACTTCCATCCTCGGCCTGCTCCGCGCCTTTCTGCTCCTCCTCCACTTCCTCCTCCTCCTCCTCCTCCTCCTCCTCCTCCTCCTCCTCCTCCTCCTCTTCCTCCATATGCCCCCCCGCGGCCAGATAACCAAAACGTCAGGAGAAGCGAGAAGAGATGACCTGGAAAGTGTGGCGAGGACACTCACAAAGAAAGCATACCTTACCCTGTAACAGCAGACAGAGTCGGCACCACCGCAGCACCATCGGGAAGAGCCACGGAAGATCTTCCTGGCGATATGGTCCTCCTGCTTTGAGGCGTCCCGCTCGAGGCATCGCCGAGCTCCGGTTCGGGGGCGCACCGTAGACCTCGCTGGAGGTGGCCCACTGGGGGTGGTGGTGTCGTCCCCCCTCTCTCCGAGACCCTGGAGGGGAGGGCGGAGAGGGAGGGGAGCATGAGCCCACGCTGCCCACCCAGAAATCCCTCTCCCAGGGGGCCCCCGACCGACGTTCGAGCGCTCGCGCTCGGTCTCAGTTGGAGAGCTGGAGCGCGCGCCGCGGGCTGCTGGGGCGGTGGGAGCGCGCGAAGCGGGCTGCTGGAATGCGGTCCCTCGTGCGCCTGGGGTGGTTGCTCCCCGTGACATGTCGGTGCTGGAGCACACCCCTCGTGACAAGCAGTCAGAGTACCCCAATTCCCTTGGGAGGGGACCTAGCCTCGGAGGGCCAGCACAACCGCTAGGGATGTGGAGTCTTTGTTGCAGGTGTCTCAGACGAAACCGCACACATGTTCAGGGATAACCCTGGAACCGAGGACCTAAGTCAGGCCAGCAAATCGTTGAGTTATGCAGGTCAGGGGCTGTATGATGCTTAACGTAGAGCTTCGGGTGCCAGGGCGCACCCATGCCTGCAGCATAGGCTGCTTCACCGCTCGAGGGTCTGGCCTCCCGGGTGGCTCCGGAGGCGGTCGGCGGCTGTCCCGAGCGCTCTTGGGGGGTTCAACCAACGCAGACAAGCCCACACCCATACCCAAAGGGGGTCCGAGCGAGGCCTGGCTATGGGTGTGGGTGCTGTTTGTCGGACCCCAGGTGAGGTTCCCGCTCGAGCGGTGACCCCCTTCCGACAGCACCCACCCACAGCCCCTTCCGCCCCCCCCCCACGGGCGTGGGTGTGCGTAGGTCGTTCGCAAACCTAGTCGACAATCCCACTAGCGAAGTCGTCCACGAAGGGCCGTTTTTTATATGAAGACCAAAACAAGGTCCGCGCTCCCGAGCTTCCAAGACGGCCGAGGCAGGAAACCAACGCCGTCAGGATCGCTTCCTATGCCCCTAGGACAGCCCAAGATGGCCCGAAAGCGGCCCAAGATGGCCCCAAAGCCGGCCCAAGAGGCCCCCCAGACTGCCCGAGAGGGGCCACAAGGGGGCCCCCAGCAAAGCCCGAAGAGGCCGAGACAACTGCTGTGCATCCGCTTTTGGAAACGGTTGAGTGCCTTCTTCCATGCTTCAACCCTTCCTTCGGCTCCAGACGGCCCTCGGGGCCTCCACGATGGCCCCAAGACGGCCCGAGCGGGCCCCCAGACGGCCAAGGATGGCCCCTCAGACGGCCCAGGACGGCCCCAAGAGAGCCCCGAGCTGGCCCAAGACGGCCTGGAAGCGTCGTCGACGGCCCAAGGTGGCCCAACGACCGCCCAACGACGGAGACATCCCAGACGGCCAGGAGAAGGTGGCCCAAGGGTTAGGTCGGGCGTGTCCCCCTACAGGCAGATTTTGGACGGAAGAACATAGACAAAACAATATACAAACAAATCAAACATTACAGGAACAAATCGTCTCCAGACTACTTTTGTACTATGATTGAAGATTCCTCCTGTAGGAGGACATGCCCGACTTAACCCAAGGGATCCCCAACACTACCTGGGAGGACAAAAAAGGCGTAAGAAAGGGAGCAGGACGTCAAAGACGTGGAGAGCACCCCCGACACGACGCGGAAGAGCGCACCACACGTTACGGCTTTCCCAAGCCTCGGGACGCGAGGTGTCAAACGTCACGGCACCAATGAGAATTGGCAGGCACGCTGGCGGGACGTGCAGCAGGCAGCTGGATAGCACGAGTTACGTCACCGCACAAACTCAGTGTGCATGCAGTGTGCCGGTGCAGTCATGGCGTTGCGGATGGGAATCGGGGGAGTACCTCTCGCTCGCTGGCATCGCCCGCAGAAACGTAACAATGATGGGACTCACGTTCTCCTCTGGCCTCTCTTCCTCCACCTCCTCCTCCCCCTCCTCCTTCTCCTCCCTCCTCCTCCTCCTCCTTCTCCTCCTGTTCCTTTCATCTGGCCCTGCTGACTGCTAACCTGCTGGATGCTAAACCAACCACCCCCCTGCGCACCCCCGCGGTGCCGAGACAACCGCTACGCCTGCCACGCCCTGCTGCCCTAACCAAACAGTGAAATCACAACAGAACGATTCAACAAAAAAGTCGTCGTCGTCGTCGTCGTCGTCGTCCTCGTCCTCGTCGTCGTCGTCGCCTTGACGAGGGGAGGCAACGGGCGCCGCGGCACGCCTGCAGGAGCCCCGCGCGGGTGCCAGATGCCAGCTGCTAGGGATAGGTCGGCAAAGTCCTCCTACAAGAGGATTTCAAAAGAAACAAAAATCGTCAAAACTTACTCGCTGATTGCTGCTACTAGCACGAGGTATCGTAATCAGACTATGTCTTGACGATTATTGAATTAATCTTCCTGTCGAGGGACATGCCCTACTTAATGCTGGGTGGTATCAGCGAAAGAAACAAGCAGGTGTCTCATGAGTCGGAGTGGGGATGCTTCTCAACCTCCTCGTCTTGTGTGGAGTGGACTTCGATGGCTGCGATCGCAGCGTCCCAGTAAAGAAAAGGGCGGCATGAATGATCCAGCTCAGGCACTATGCGGCGCGACGCATTGAACCTGGTGAGCGTAATGGTAGCGGAAGCTGGGCGCCAAAGGTAAAGAGAAAGAGCGTCTCGACCTCCTCCTTCTCCTCCTCCTCTTCCCCCTTCTTCCTTCTCCCGCTCCGGGTGGGGCAGAGGTGATCGCGGTTGGGAGCGTGCCGTGACCTCGCTTCCCCCCTGCAGCATCCCTCCGCGCCCCAGAGGAGGGACTCCCAGCTGCCAAGGGGGCCACAGATGGGCCACAGCACACAGGAAGGAGGAGGAGGAGCGCGATCTTCGCGGCGGCCGCGTGCTCCGCAGCGTCGCCCCCACGCAGCTCACGCAGCAGCAGGTGGCGCCTTCAGAGCCCCCGCCGCACGAACTGCAGCAGCTCCTCCGCGCTGCAGTGGCCGTTCCCGGAGCTGTCGTTGACCATGGAGGCGAAGCCCCGCAGGTCGGCACCGCACAGCTCGTCCCACCCGTGCCTGGCAGCGAGGTCGCTGTACTCCTGCGGGCGGCTCAAAGGGGGCGGGGCCCTGGGGGAGATGGAGCCCTGAGGACGAAAGGCAACAAGCAGTGCAAGTTCAACCCCAGACCCCCGACGTCGTGACTTTTCCACGCCGACCCCCACAGGTCTGGACCCCCTCCCCGGGACCGGCTTTTCATCCTGAGTCGTTCTTGGACGGTGCGGGGGCCCGGCAAGGGCCCCCGGAGGCCGAAGGCAGGGAAACGGCCTCCGCCGGGGTCTGACGGCAGATGCACGCAGCAAGAACTCCCGCCATGAGAACTCCCAAGGGCCCAGCGACCCGACGCCGCTGCGAAAAAAATTGCAGCCCCCCAAGCAGTCGCGACCGAAGCCCCAGACCCCACCCTGCCTATTGCGCAAAAGAACTGCAAGGCCAGGATCTCAGGGGGGACGCTCGTCGACGACCTCTGAGCTTCCCAGGGTGCCGCACAATGCTTCTGCTTGGACCGCCGCGGAGCTACCCCATCATTCTAAGCCAAATGGGGCACTTGGAACCCGCTTATAAGTTGGGTTAGGCCAGATGAAACCCACTTGAGCATCCACATCTAACCCTCCCATCTCGGGCGTTGGCAGAACTAACCGGAACTGCCGTCACCCGAAAAAACACCAGCTACGGCAGACCTGGTTTAGTGATTCTGGCCAATTCAAGGGCTCCGGGGCCCGAGTCCCCTTACCTGGGGTTCTGGCTATACCCGACCATCCCCTTAGCAATCACCGCGGCGATCCAAGTGCGGGTCTTTGACATTCCACGGGGGGCCCTGCCGGCAGGCGGGCGTCTACTTCTGGCTGCACCTGCTGTAATTACCCTCCAGGCCCCATCCCTCGAAGCTCGAAGATTGATCGGGGAGACGTAAGACTCGGTTCGGGGGGCTCGGGTGTGACTCATCATGCAAAGGGCCCGTAGCCCGTTGGGAGGGGACCTAAGTCAGGAGGGCCAAAAACATTAGGGACAGGGGGCATGTTCCTGTACTTCTATAAAACAAAACCATCAGGATTGGCCTGACGGGGCCACCATGAACATGGCGAGGCCCAATGTGAAATTAGCCGCGAGCTCCCGCTGCAAAAATCCCACGAACACTAGACCGTCAAAATCCAGGACGCGCTCGTCAAAAAGCGTCAGCAAAACCGAGTTTCGGCGCACTCGAATCTTACCTCGAGTCGTACGCTTCCCCGAATTAAGAGAACACCCCCTTCTTTCTCAAAACACCCTTCCGTGAAAGCTGATTAGCACCGCATCCCGAGTGGACCCCAGAGGGATAGCGAATCGACGCCCTGAAATAGGCGAATGCCTCTGGCGAAACGCACGCCGATGAACGAACCACCGACCCGGGACTGCACCGGCACACGCCGTGTGCCAACGTCGAGTGGCCCCGTGCAGATTCACTCGGCCGACTTGTGTCTGGGTGTGCGCCCCCTCAGTGCCCAAGAGCCCCCGTGGTGGCACCCCTGACGCCCTAGGTTGCGAGAACATTGCAACTTGGCGGCGCGCAGAGGGGGGCAGGGGTAGGGGGGAAGGCTTCTTAGAGGCACCCTGCTCCTTAGAAGGCCGCGGCCTTGTATCTACAGATAAGGCCCGCGCCTTCTAAGAAGCAGGGGAGCTTCTAAGAAGCCTCCCCCCCCCTCCCCCTACCCCCCTCTGCGCGTGGCTGATCAATGCCCAAGGGCCCCCGTCGTGAAAGCCCTAGGTTGCGAGAACACTGCAGCGCCGCCAAAAAATCACGACCAAAATCCCAGACCCCATCTCTCTCCGCTGCACTTGTCGAGCCGGAGCGATCTGTGAGGGTCCCGCGCGCAAAAGCGCCCGGCGTGAAAAACAAGTGCAGCGCCCAAGTCTCTCGGGAGCCCCGCCGATCCTGCTGCCACTCCGCGTCGCTGCCCTCGAAGCCGCAGAACTCCGCGTACCTGGGACGACAAAACAAAAACAAAACAAAACAAAAAAACGATCCAGCCACTCACCAGACATCCCCTGGTGTGCGTTCTGACCAAAATATCATAGCGAATCCAGCGATGGCGACGAGGGCCTCCCAAGGGGCCCGAAGCTGTGAAAACGAGGCGAAGTTACCGCAAGTTCGTGCCGTGACGACCCTGGCGTTGGGTTCTGACACCAGATGGATCGTTCAACCTTGAACGGTCGGCGGTTTCTCGATCGCCAGATCGGTCCATATTGGCCGATTCTGGGCCTCTAGTGGCGTTCTACCTTGAACGCCCACGGCGGGGTCGCTGCCGCGTCGACACGACACGAACCTACCGCACAGTCGGACCTAGGTCAGAAGAACATCCTTCGAAAGCACGGGACACGAGACCCTCCGCCAGCCGGGACAAAGGGCGTTCGAGGGCAGCCTCCCCCAGGATGCACAAGAACATCGAACAATTTCTTCGTCGGCGGCGAGGCAGGGGCAGTCCTCACCAGCGTGCGACGAATCGGGGCAACCGAAAGGCGCATTGTGCCGGCGTGCCAGAGGAAGGACATGCATCCAACACGCACGGAGGACATCGAGGCTCCCCACCCCGAACCGACCCCCATCTTCGTACCTCGGTCCGACCGCAGCGGCATCGGTTCTGTTGCCCGACCCGGCGTGCCGACGGAGGCATGCGCCCGGCAGCCGCCCGCTGCCGCCCTCCTCCAGGGCGCCGAAGGCCGAGACGATGAGCTCCGGGCGCCAGCCGAGGGCCGCGAGCGCGCCGCGCAGCTCGCGGGTGGTGCAGTGGGCGGGGCTCTCGGCGTCGTTGACCATCCTCGGGGCGGGCGGGGCGGCAGAGGACTCCTCCTCCCCCATCCTCCTTCTCCTCCTCCACCTCCTCCTCCTCCTCCTCCTCCTCATCATCATCATCATCATCATCATCAGCATCATCATCATCATCATCATCATCATCATCACCACCACCCACCACCACCACCACCACCACCACCACCACCACACATCATCATCATCATCATCATCATCATCATCATCATCATCATCATCATCATCATCATCATCATCATCGGCATCATCATCATCATCATCATCATCATCATCATCATCATCGTCATCATCATCATCGTCATCGTCATCATCGTCGTCATCATCATCAGCAGCATCATCATTCGTGTGCCAGTATAACGCTTCCCAGTGCGGGAAGTTTTATGTATCCTTTGGCCAGAAGGGGGGGCTTAATCGCTTCTCGAGGTTACAGTTTGGCAGGCTCGTGTCGTGCCGGCTTCGGCATGGGCTTCCGACGCCGCGGGGATCGTTCAGCATCGACCGATTCTGGGCCGGCATTCGACGTTGAACGCCAGCGGCGGGATCGGGGCTTGTCGACACGACGCAAACCAACCTTGAAGTAGACAAGCATCTTGTTGTTGGTGTTGTCCGTGGTGTTGCTGGTGTTGATATTATTGATATGGGTTTCGTTGTTGCTATTGTTGTTGGTGTTGCTGTTGTTATTGCTGTTGCTGTTGCTGTTGTTGCTGTTGTTGCTGTTGTTCCTTTCCTCCTCCCCCTCCTGGCCGCCGTTGCGTGGGCTATCTGCGCCCACGCTTGGAGCTAAGAGCGTGCTGAGCTGAGAAGACGGCGTTCGTTCCAAGCATTAACTTCAACAATAGTCCAGGTGCAGATATATAAAAATAACATTCTACTTACACAGATGCTCCAATAATGTCGACGATCTCGGAGTCTCAGAGGTGCCCCGGTGCTTCTGCGGGTCCCTGGGGCCATCGGGAGATGAGAAACTTACTTCCGTGGGGCACCGCGTTGTTGATCATCCCTGGGCGGGAGAAAACCCTAAGGACGTGGCGTCGTCTTGTCTTTGCCCAGAAGGCGAGTGTGCTTCTGTTTCGAGCCCCACGAGCATCACAAATCGGCACGGCTCAACAGACGTGCCGCAGGAGGATGGGTTCTATAGAGCTTCCTTCGTGTTTTTGCGCGGTGCTGCACTTGATTCGCAGCTTCGGATCTCAAGGAGGTGGCACAGGAATCGGAAACTCTCGGATCGGCGGCGAGCGAGGTAGTGAGGGGGCAGTGGGAAGAAGAGCGCCTAGTCAGAAGGCGGCGGGGCTTCGTGGAAGCCCTCCAGCCTTCTGTGAAGTCTGCTGCGTCTTCGGGGGAGGCTTAGAGAACTTCTCTGAAGGCTGGGGGACATCCGAGCCTTCTTTGAGCAGGGACAGACCGTCCAAGCATTCCTATAGCCCTACCACGACATATTCTTCGAACCCAAAAATGCTCCAAGAACAAAAGCAAAGTTCTCATAACATAACCCCGATGTGCTAAATCAGCACAGCCCCAGCCAGAAATGCTATGAGAACATCTCTTGGAAACCGCAAGAGGTTCTTAGAACATTGATTGGTCGGCCTATAGTCGGCGGTGGACAAACCTCCCTTTAGTAAACCTCCCCTGAGTGAAAACGGCCTAGGACCGAAACCGACGGACCTGGACCCACAAAAATGACGGCCGCGACGCCCTCTCGCGAACCGAAAACGGCCAGTTCCTTAATCGACGTGTCAAGGTAGGAGGTCTACCAACCTCCGATGTAGGCACGCCAGGACGCTCCGCCACTGCTTGACTTCTGAGAAGGCCTGCCCCATTCGCGCTTCCCCCCCCCCACGGCCCGCCGCCGATCGGAGAGGCACGCCCCCGCGGACTGCTCGCATCGGCGCTGTGGAGGCGCCGCGCCATGGCGCGCGCGGCGGCGCCAGAAGGGGCCACGCTGGAGGCGCCGCTCGGGGGGCCCCGGCGCCGATGCGAGAACTCCGCATGGACCTCCGAGACGCTATGATTGCACCGCTACTTCGTACAAGATTTATACTCTCAAAAGTAGCGGTAAGAATACCAATCATAACGATCAGCATCCGTACAACGTTTGCAACTTCCTGATACGACTCTTTGCATCCGAACCGACGCGCTTCGCGCTGCGCCGGGGGGAAAAGGCACCTCGTGCGTCACGCGCTCATCGCCGCGCGCTCTCAGGCGGCGGCGCCTGGCTCGGTTCCCCCCTTCCTGGTCAGCCCAGCATGCCCAGCCTTGCCCTGCCCAAAGCTGGGGCAGGCTAGATGTTACCTCAAGCACTGCTACAGTCGGACCAAGGCCAGGAGAACATCCCGCAAGAACGCGAGATCCTCCGCCGGCCAGAGCACACAGAACAGGGCACCCTCCCCCAGGATACACAAGAACAGCCAACAACCACGAAGAACATCAAGGTACCCTCTCCGAACGTACCTCGATGTTATACCTCGGTCCGACTGTACCATGTTTCTTCTCCTTGATCCGCCACCATGTCCTCGAGGCACGAGCTGCAGAATTCTCAAGCACTGCGAAGCCTCAGTCCTCAAGCATGATGATTATGTATAGTTCCCCGGACCCAAAGTTGCCAAATATCTTTGGAATTGCCGCGTGCCCCCTGGAGCGCGTCGCGCTTTCTCGCACGGATTTTCCAGCCCAGAGGTGACCGAGAGACTACATATCATAGTCTACCCTCCAATGTTTCGATCAATGTGTGGGTCCTCGATGTCTCTAGCTTCCGATGCTCCAAGACGGCCCCAATGATCCCCAAGACCGCTCCAAGACGGCCCAAGAGGCCCACAGGAGGGCCCCAACACGGCCCAAGAGGGCTCCAAGACGGCCCCAGAGGCGCCCGAGTCGGCCCAAGGGAGCCCAAAGACAGCCTCCAGAGGGGGAATCCAAAAATCCTAGCCTTCCGCCCAAAGAGGCTCCCAGGAGGCCCCAAGCAGGCCCCAAGAGGCCCCCGAGCCGAGAGGCCCCAGGAGGCCCCCGAAGAGGCCCCGAAGACGCTCCAGCAGGTCTCAACAAGGTCCAAAGGCAGGCCCCTAAGAAGCCACCGAGAGGCACCGCGCAACATCCTAACGAACATCCTCAAGGCTTATGACCCACAGCCCAGGCGCGGTGGCGGGATAGGCCAGAGGCCATCAGATAGCATATCCCCGCTCAGAGGTAAGACAAGCTCACGAAGAGAGTGAACTTCACTCCGAGCGCGTTCTAAAAAAATAGTCCAGGTCCAGATCCCCGAGCGTTCTACGAGAGATCCAATCCAGATTCCGGAATTTCTTGAGCGGAATATGGAGTCCATAAAACTTCATGTGTCTTTCATAAGCCGCCACGCCGTTAATTCTGCACGAGCCTAAGTCGACGAAGTCGGCATCACGGCAAACCCGACGGCGAACCTTGCGTCTGAGGCGAAGTTTGCCCTGGTGGCCAAGGCGCCCTCTCAAAGACGCAAGGCCGCGCGTTGGAATAAACGGCGCGGCGACATAAGACTTCTGATGGGTGCAGTGTCATGAAAATACGCGGATCGCCACGGGGTGTGCTAAGAGGGTAGGGGCGTACAAGTGGATGCTAAGGTGGGATCTATTCAGCCCAACACAGCTTAAAAGTGGGTTGCACGTGCCCTGAATGGCTGAAGGGCGTACAGATCTGGGCTACGTGGGCGGAGCCCACTTAGCGGAGCTACCTCATCACCATAAGCCACATAGGGCACCTGTAACCCACCTCTACGGTGCGTGAGGCCAGAGAACACCGCCTGAAACGTCCGCTTCGAACCCCTCATCCTCTTAGCAACCACCGCGGCGATCCAAGTACACGATGTTCCCTTCTTTGTTTCGCGACGTTGGATCTCAGGGTCGTGCCACAGAGCACAACCTGCTGCGTCCACTTCTAACCCCCCGAAACCCCTCAGCACCACCCGCAGGCAGAGCCACCGCCCCCGGGCCCCACCACGTCGTGCTTCTGCTCACCACGTCGACCCCCAGAGGTCTTGAGCCCCTGCCCCGGGACCGGCTCCTCAGTGCCTGAATCGGTTCTTGCCGGTCCCGAGGCCCGGCAGGGGCCCCTGGAGGCCGACAAGAGCGAAAACCCTCGCGCAGTGTATTTTTCACAACGCGCCAGTGTATATATATATATATATATATAAATATATATATATATATATATATATATATATATATGAATACATCTAGTCGCTGTCTGCTGTCCAGCTCGAGTCCTGGCAAAGTCCCTGGGCCCCACGCCCTCGTCGGGGTCCCAGCCGTGGGCCCCGGCCAGCGCCTCGTACGCCCCGCGCTCTCCGCCGCCGGGCGCGAGCTCCCCCGCGCCGCCGAGGCCGCGGCCCCGGGCCGCCGCGAGGTGCCCGAGCTCCTCCGCGGCCAGGCGCCCGGTGCCCGCGGCGTCCAGCGCGCGGAAGAGGCGCGCGACCTCGGGAGGCGAGGGAGAGACGGCCACGGTACGGCGTTCTGCTGCTCCCGTCGCACTCAAGGGGCCACATCCCAAAAATCACTTCGAGCACCCGGAAGAGTGCCGAAGGAGTGTCGAAGCAGTGTCCAAACAGTGTCGGGCGAGCCTCCCAGGGCCCGACGCGTGAAAACCCTCGAGTTTCGGTGCTTTTTTCTGGTGCTCGAAATCCTTTCTGGCGATCAATGCTAACAAAAGGTTGGAACATCAGAACGATACGGCAGGTTCGTGTCGTGACGACCTCGGCGCTGGTTGCTGACACCGCGTGGATCGTTCCACCTCGAAGGATCGGCGGCCTTCCGAGCGCCCGATCGTGCCATGTGGGTCGACTCTGGGCCGCTGGCGGCGTTCATTCTTGCTCGCCCGCGGCGGGGTCGCCGCCAGTCGACACGACGCGAACCTACCGTACCCCAGTTCCCCTCGCGCTGGGAGAAAAAAAAACCTACGGCGGGAGGTGGTTCCCTAATGTCGGCCTCCAGGGGCCCTCCCCTGGCCTCGCGGGGCCGCGAGAGAGCGCCTCGGGAGGAAAAACTGGTCCCGGGGAACGGATCGAGACCTGTGGGTGTCGACGTTTCCAGACCTCCGACGTCGTGTTTTTTGTCGCAGCATCGACCCCCAGAGGCCTGGACCCCATCCCGGGGACTTGTTTTTCATCCTGAATCGTTTTTTGGCGCTCCCGAGGCCCAGTAGGAGCCCCTGGGGGCCAGAAATAGAAAAACCCTCCCGTCGCGTTTTTTTTGTTCACAACGCGAGGGGGTCTGGGCTATGGATAAATCATGACGTCGGGGGTCTGGGACCGCAAGGGCCGCGGGAATCGCCGCAGGCGCCCCGCGGAGACCGACCCCGGCCACCCAGCGGTGGTGGCCTGCGCGCGGCGCCCGATGGCGAGTGCCGCGCGCAGGTCTTCACCGCTGCGGGGCCGGGGCCGGTCTTGGGGGGGCGCCGGGAGCGTTTCCCATATAGGAGGGCACCAACTATACACCAATACCGATCCTGGCCAGGATCACCCTGGGCCCAGGATCGGTGTATACGCCCTCCTGCCTGGGGCAAGAAGGCATATACACCGATCCTGGGCCCAGGATTGGCCTGGCCAAGATCGGTGTTGGTGTATAGTTGGTACCCTCCGACCATAGCCCAGCGGTTGCGGTTGTCTCGTCGCTCATGGCGACCAGCAGCGGCCGCGACTGGGCCCTGGCCAGCACCAGCTCGAGGTCGGCGTCTGTCAGGTGGCCTCCGCGATCAAGCCCCCTGAGATCCTGGCGCTCTGTGTTTGTTTCCAGCGGGGCGTTGTTGCTGCGCCCGGTGAACCCGGACCCCCGATGCCGTGATTTCTTCACAACGCCGACCCCCAGAGGTCTGGACTCGCTCCCCTGGACCCGATTTTTCTCCAGAGTCGTTCCTGGACGCTCCCGCGGCCCTGTGGGGGCCCCTGGGGGCCGAACGTAGCGAAAAACCTCCCCGTCGTGCTTCTTTCAATGCGCGAGGGGGGATGGGAAGATGGGGTGTGTCGCTCAGGTCATGATTCTACGTGGATCTCCGCTGGGCTTGCTATGAGGATAGGGGAATACAAGAGGGTGCGAAGGTGGGTTCTACCCAGCCCAACACAGCTTAAAAGTGGGTTGCACGTGCCCTGAATGGCTTAAAAGGGCGTGCAGATCTGGGCTAAGTGGGCGGAGCCCACTTAGCGGAGCTACCTCATCATCCCAAGCCACATAAGGCACCAGTAACCCACTTATGAGGGGGGTTGGGCCAGATAAAACCACCTTTAGCATCCGCTTCGAACCCCTCATCCTCTTAGCAACCACCGCGGCGATCCAAGCACACGGTGTTTCCCTCTCTGTTTCGCGACGCTGGATCTCAGGGTCCCGCCCTCGGCCTGGTCCTCGAGGGTATCGTCGGCCGTGCTCGGCCCTTTTCGACGGGCCTCCGGGGGCCTCCGAAGGGACCTCCTGGCAGGGACCCCCCGCCTCTGGGGCGGAAGCAGAGCCTCCTTGTGATCTGACGTGGCAAAACAGATGCAACATCGGACAAACATCGTGACCCCTGTCTCGCTGCACCATTCGTCAAAGCCAGATCGAGGTGTGTGAGGGCCCCGGGGCCCGACACCAGGCGAGAGCGCCCGCTGTGGAACGCCTGCAGCGCAAGGATCTCAGGGTCACCAAGCGGCCTTCGCCGTCCTCGTCGTTGACCATCTGGGCGAACCTCCAGGGATCCACCTCCGCGTCCTCGCTCCACCCGTAAGCCGAGCACAGCGCCGCGAAGGCCGCGGCCCAGGCCTCGGCGTCGCCGTTGAAGCCCGTGACCGCGGCGTACCGGCGCATCTCCCGGGACCCTGGGGGGAACTCAGACGGCAGCGATACCGCTGCTCCCGGACAACCCGCGGCGGTCCCCAGACTTCGGCCCCGGCAGGCCCTCGACGGGCGCCGGGCCCGTCATAGAACGACCCAGGGCGAAGGTCTGGTCCCGGGGAGGAGGAGGAGGAGGAGGAGGAGGAGGAGGAGGAGGAGGAGGAGGAGGAGGAGGAGGAGGAGGAGGAGGAGGAGGAGGAGGAGGAGGAGGAGGAGGAGGGGGGGGAGGAGGAGGGGGGGGAGGAGGAGGGGGAGGGAGGGAGGAGAATGGGTCGAGACCTCTGGGGACCCCCCTGTGGAGCCCCCAGGAAGGAAGCATCGGATCCGTGCGCCCAGCTCCCCGGGCCTGTCTCCTGGGGCCCGTTCTTCATGGCCAGGATCTCGGGGCGAGTCGGGCCGAGGGGGCCGCGAGGGCCTCACGCAGGACAGGCCAGGAGAAAGGGCGAGGACGAGGCGGGGGGGCCGCGAGGGCCTCACGCAGGACAGGCCAGGAGAAAGGGCGAGGACGAGGCGGGGGGGCGCGAGGGCCTCACGCAGGACAGGCCAAGAGAAAGGGCGAGGACGAGGCGGGGGGGCCGCGAGGGCCTCACGCAGGACAGGCCAAGAGAAAGGGCGAGGACGAGGCGGGGGGGCCGCGGTGTCCCCAGGCCCCCTCGAGCAGCGAACAAAATCACAGCGGGAGGCTTCTCGCTATTTTCGGCCTTCGAGGGCCCTGCCTGGGCCTCGGGAGCGTCCACAAAACGACTCAGGAAGAGAAACCGGCCCCGGGGAATGGGGTCCAGACCTATCTGGGGTTCGACGCATAACAAAAAAGACACGACGTCGGGGGTCTGGGCGGTATATCTGCACCCTCTGTTTTTCTCCTCCGGGCGCCGATGCCCCCCGAGGAGTTGGTGTCCAGCGCCCGGAACAGCTGCCCGGTCAGCTCCGCGCGGCTCCCCAGGAGCGCCAGCAGGAAGCGCAGCTCGTCCTCGGAGCAGTGCAGCCGCCCGCCGTCGTCCCCCGTGAGGGCCTCGAGGTGCTCCGGGCCCGGGCCCTCAAGGGCCTCGAAGCCGTAGATGTCGGCCAGCTGCTCGTACTGCGCCGCCCAGCCTGGGGGGCCCCAGAGCTTGCCAGCGCTCGGACGCCCAGCCCTCAGAGGCCTCCGAACCCAGACCCCCTCGGGCAGCGACAAAAATCACGCCGGGAGGTGTCTTGCCACTTCCGGCCTCTGGGGGGCCCTTCCCGACCCTCGGGACCGTCAGCAAACAACTCAGGACGAGAAACCGGTCCCGGGGAATTGGTCGAGACCTCTGGAGGTCGACGTCATGAAAAAAAATCATGGCGTCGGGGGTCTGGGTAAGTGGGGTCCGAGCAGATGGGGTCGGAGGAGCGGGCCGCATCGTCGATGCACCGGCGACGTTTGCGATGCATCGGCGAGGCTCGCGTGGAGAGTATCGGGCTCCACATCGAGTTGCATCCCCGATGCATCGGCGATGCGGCACGATCCTTCAACCCCATCTGCTCGGACTCCATACGGGAGGCCTAGACATTCCCCGTGCGTGTTTTGGTGTCGTGCGTGCTGCTTTTGCCCGATGATCCAGGATGCTCCTCGATGGATTTTGTCGACAAAAAATCCACTCGCCCGAGTCATCCCGAGAAAAGCACCTATACCGCTCCTGGACCTCTCCCAGGGCGCGTTCTGGCCACGATCTCGGCACGAATCCGGCCGTGGTGACGAGGGCCTCCCAGGAGGCCCAAAAAGGTGAACACGAGGAAGGAGAGAAAGGAGACAAGTCCCGTCTCAGGCCGCGGGCGGGTGGGACGCACCAGAACAGAACCGTGGCTATCACCAGTGAAAGTCAGCAGTCTGATATACAAGGTCTTCAGCTTTGCTCCGCCAATACCGCGTCTCTTTCGCTGCTGTCTGCCAGCTTCCCAGGCTTTGTGATTTGCAACAAATTCGTAGGGAGTCTTCGGATCGAGGGAAGGGGAGTGCGGTCTGACCACGATGTCGAGGCAAAACCAGCCGTGGCGACGAGAGCCTCCCACGAGGCTGCAAAAGGCGAATGCACAGGAAGGGTACCGGTATCGGTCAATTCCAAAGCGTGCGTTGTCCTGATGATGTTAGCACGCGGTCCCCGACAGTCCCGCCCCGCCTGCTTTTCATCCCGAGTCGCCGGCCCGGCGAGGGCCCTCACTTGGATCGCCGCGGGGGTTGCTAAGGGGATACGGGGGCTAAAAATGGATGCTCAAGTAGGATATATCTGGCCAGACCTAGCGTGGCGAATGCTCTAAGTGGGCGGAGCCCACTTAGCGGAGTTATGTAATCGCCCCAGGCCACCTTAGCATCCACTTCCAGCCACCATATCCCCTTAGCAACCACCGCGGCGATCCAAGCAGAGGCCGAAAACTGCCCCAAAACCTCCTGTCGTGAGTCTTGCTCGCGGCGCGAGCATGTCTCTGGGCGTTCCTCCCCTGGCGGCCGGCGTCGCCGCCGTGGAACCCGCACAGCTCGGCGAGGCGGCGCAGCTCGCGCTGCCCCAGCCTGGGGATTCCCCAAAAGGGCAGCGAGGGGGAGGAGGAGGAGGAGGAGGAGGAGGAGGAGGAGGAGGAGGAGGAGGAGGAGGAGGAGGAGGAGGAGGAGGAGGAGGAGGAGGAGGGAGGAGGGGGAGGGGAGGAGGGGGAGGGGAGGAGAGTTACTGATAAGGAAAAGGAATGGAGGAGGAGGAGGAGGAGGAGGAGGAGGAGGAGGAGGAGGAGGAGGAGGAAAGGGGCGGCTGCTCCCCTGACCTCTCCCGGGGTGCGCTCGAACCACGATTCCGACTGGGATCGCCGCGGTGGCTGCTAAGGGGATGCAAGTGGATGCTGAGGTGGGTTCTATCCAGCCGAACCCAGCTCAGACGTGGGTGTCACGTGCCCTGGGAGGCTGGAGGGCGCGCAGATCTGGGCCAAGTGGGCAGAGCCCACTTAGCGGAGCTACCTCATCATCCCAAGCCGCATCGGGCACTTGTAACCCCTCTCATTGGTGGGTGAGGCCAAATAAAAACCCACTTTAGCATCCACTTCCAACCCCCCCCATCCCCTTAGCAACCACCGCGGCGATCCAAGTGCTCCCCAGACCTCTCCCGGGGTGCGTTCTGACCACGATTCCGAGGCGAATCCAGCGGTGGCGACGAGGGCCGCCCAAGAGGCCCAAGAAGCGGAAACCCAGGGAAGGGTGGCGGTGCGGGTGCCTCTCCCAGACCCCCGACGTATTGACTGTTTCGCAACGTCGGTCCCCAGAGGTCTGGCCCCCTTCCTCAGGACCGGCGTTTCCTCGCATCGCATCGCCAGCGGCACGGAGGCTGCCTGAATTATCACTGGGCGCCTTCCCACCTCCTGGCAAGCATCTGGACGCCTGCTGCTAAAAGCGGTGGCCGAAAAATTGGTTGCATCACGGTCGAATCCATGAGTTGACGCTCTGGCCGAGGGGCTCTTCAGTCGCTTCTTGAAGCCCCGAGGCACGGCAAGGGCCCCGGAGGCCGAAAGTGGCGAAGAGCCTCCAGTCGTAATTCTAACATCGGGGGCGGCCAAGAGGGGGGCGTCCAAGAGGGGGGGGTGCAAATCATGGCCAGCGGCATGTGCGCGGCCCAGGGGGGGGGCCAGGGACGTAATGAAATAAGAAGAGGCGCCATGAAATCTGGGGAAATATCATGGCCCCCGCCATGATATCCACCCCCCCCTTAGTCATCACCCCCCTCTTTTCCGCCCCCGATAACAGGGGGTATGTCGACCCCATCCCAGGCTTTGGGAGGCTCTCGAACGGATCCGAATTCTGGGGCGCAGCCCTGAGGTACACGATGGCGCGGGGCGTCCCCCCTCGACATGGGGTGCGTCCGAAGAATTAGCCACCGCGGGGTGTGCCCCCGGGTGTCCCCCCTGGTCTGGAGCGGCCAAACCTTCCGGGCAGAGCTCGGGGGTTCAGGAGGAAGACCGCCTGCGATTCTTGTCACCACGCGAGGGGGTGTGGGTGCCCTTTAGATCGGGCGTGCCCCCCTACAGGCGGATTTTGGGCGAAAGCAAAACAACGAAAACAAATCGTCCCCAGACATTTGTTTTGCAATGTTTGAAAATTCGAGGGACACGCTCGACTTAAGGGTATGGGCTTCGGCGGTGGACACACACCTCCCTTTAATAAACCTCCCCTTAGTGAAAACGGCCTGGGACCGAAACCGGCAGACCTGGACCCGCAAAAATGACGGCCGCGACGCCCTCTCGCGAACCGAAAACGGCCAATTCTCTAATCGACGTGTCAGGGTAGGAGGTCTGTCAACCTCCGAAGGTTTCCTCCCTCGGCAGCCGCGGCTCGGACGAGGGGCCACCGCGCGCGGGCCCGAGGGCGGCGCAGAGCTCCCGGGCGAGCTCCCGCCGCGCCTACAGAGCCCCAGGCTGTGCGCCGGGGCGGCCCCCCCCCCCCCGAGCGCCGGAGGGGCCCTCTGGTGCGGCGGCTTCTCTGTTCCCCTCAATAGTTCGGGGCCCCCGGACTACGGGTACCTCTCCCCGGACTGCAGGTATAACCCCCTCCCCTACATCCACGCGGCGGCGTGAGGCCGTTTTCTTTGTAGACTCTGGCAAGTGTACTTGCCTGGAGGGGGAGGGGGGGGGCTGGAGAGGTGAGCTTCATGCAGGTCGAAGCTCACTTGCACGCTGGTTCGGCCCATAAGGCGGCGGGGGGGGGTGGGGGTGGGCCGAAATCCCATGCAAGTGAAGTTGCCAAAATTCGATCAAAAACGCGCTGCTTCGGGCCTGCGCGGCGGGCTCGTGGGGCGCATATAGCCCAGAGATCCGAGGACATACTTTCTCGCTCCGCCGGTTTTTCCTGGACTTCGGGCTCCGGGGAGCATCACGGATTATGTCCTGGATCTTTCTGATTTCCCCGATTTCACTCCTGTACTTCTCTCCTGGATTTCATTCCTGGATTTTCCGTATGTTCTGTTATCGGGCCCAGGGTTCATCAAAGGTGGGTCCAAGACGAAAGACCACCCCCGGGGAAGGCGTCGAGTTTTCTGGGGCCGCGGATGGAAAAAAGCATACCCGCGGATGCCTGGGTCTGGGGATCGCAGAACGGCATTGCTCCAGGCAGCCCGTATACGGGCAAGGACGCACGGTGAGGGCGCACGGGCCTGGAAAGACCATGTCGACACGTTGCGAGAGGCGCGGCCAGCGGAGACGGCCGAGGATGGGCCGAAGCGGGATGATGCAGGGGCAACCTTGAAACGTGTCTCACCCTTGGTCTGCGGGTGGACTGTAAAATGATGTGCCCCTGTTGGAGACGCACGTCCGACCCGACCATATAGCACATGTAGACCAGCGTGGACCCCACACCGTGTGTCTCTAGCATTCTATGTTGTGCCACATCTGCAGCGAGATCGGCGTTGTGCGGGCTATGTTCTGCAATCTACGTGGTGCAGTCAATGTTTGTTCGCTGCGGCCGCGCCATCGCACGTAGGCTCGCCCGCAGACTGGCCATCCAGTCTGGCGCGACCGACGCGGCCGCGGCGGCGTTGACCGCTGGAGGCTTCCCACCGCATTTCGCAACCAACGCTAACGTGCGGGCACTTCAGTGCGAGCCGGTGGCTCGGGCAAAAGAGGTATCATGGCGACGCCGACACAAGCAGACACCATGATGATAGCAGCGATGTTGGTGGCGATGGTGACGATGACGACGGCGAGGCCGATGACGGCGCAAATGCTGACCACGCCGATGACGATGATGGTGTCCACGTGTCGGTGATGAATGTTTTGAAGAAGAAGATCGGTTTGCGCGCGCGGCCGACGGGCGCGAGTGGCCCGCATGTAGTTCTTTGGCAGGGATCGTGCCCCCCCCCCAACAAGCGCGCAAAGGCGTTTGAATGATTACGACATGCTCACGAGAAGCACGCTTGGTGGCATTCGTCGACAAAAATTACGGTTCACAACAGAATTCGCAAAAGCGCGCGCGCAGCCTTTTTTGAAAAGCACGTTGCAGCACCACTGTGTTCTTCATATGGTTTCGAGAAGATCGACCTCTCTCCCTCAGGATTTCGGTTTGCGTGCGCGACGACGCGCGCGTGTGCATGTCGTCACATTTGTTGGCGAAAACTGGAAATGGATGCTGTTTGATACATTAATCCGCGTGCATAAAGTTCTCTGACAGACATGAAGGGGGGTGCCGGTAACGGCTGGGCTGCCATGGTATGCGTTCGTACTTCAAATCAGCGATGGGGCACAATCGGATGTACATTGTACCACGAGATGGGGAAATACTAAATCCTTGCTGGAAGCAGGAATCAGTGTGATGTAATCTATGTGGCGCAATACGCGTGGTGCAATCTATGTGGTGCAACCAATCACTTGCCCAATTTGAAGCTGTCCTCTCGACTGCTCGTGAAACCATCCCACCCTCCCACCCGCAACTTGGTCGCAAGACCTCTTAAGACCGTGACGGTGGGTACCAAATGGCACTTGGCATGGACACCGACGCCGACGACGACAGCGACAACGACGACGACGCAGCCGCCGACAACGACTACGACGACACCGACAACGTCTCCGACGACTTCGACGACGCCGACGACGACGACGACACCGACGACGACGACGACGACGCCGACGCCGACGACGACGACGATGACAACGACGACGACGACGATGAGGCCGACGACGACGACGCCGACGACGACGACGACGAAGACAACCGCGACGACGACCACGACGTCGCCAACGAAGACGACGACGACGAGGGAGGAGGGAGGACGACAACGGCGGCAACGACGACAACGACGCGGGAGGAGGGAGGACGGCGACGACGCGAACGACGAAGAAGGAGGGAAGACGGCGACGCCGACGACGACAACGACGAGGGAGGAGGAAAGACGACGACGACGACGACGACGACGAAATAGGAGGGACGACGACGAAACGCCGACGAAAACGACGAAGGAGGAAGGACGACCACGGCGACAACGACGACGGAAACGACGACGACGCCAAGACGACGACGACGACGAGGAAAGACAGAGGACGAAGACGGCGACGACGACGACGACGAGGGAGCAGGGAGGACGGCGACGACGACGGCGACGACGACGCAAAAGCGCGCGCGCACGCTTTTGTTGAAAATCCGTGTTGCGAAACCATGTGATTTCGTAAGTTTTTTGGACACTCGATTTTGAAATTCCTCCGAAACCTAGGGTTTTTGAAGGATTCCGGCATGCGCGCGCGACGACGCGCGACACGCGCGCGTGCGCCATTGCGAATAGCTTGTGACTCAATGTCAGCTTTTTCTGCCACAGTCTCCAACATCCATGTTTGTTTCGTTTCCCTTCTCTCGTATTCTTTTTGTAGGGGTTCTTGTGCACGTGGTTCTGCGGCAACTTCTTTCTTATTCAGGTTTCTGGTAACTAATGCTGGGCGTGACCATGTCGAATCTGGTATTTTATCTCTGTGTGCCGGCATGTAGTTGGTCTCACGTGGCATGGTTGGTATTGCTACCGACTGGGTGAACTTGCGTATGAGCGGGTTCAAAGTCCCAAAGTCGGTTCCTTCATTATCCACAAATACCAAAGCACGTTCTTCTCCATCGTGCTGTTGTGGTAGTTGACGGTAGTATAGTACCGTGGTAATGTCACGTGGCCCACCAGGTAATTTGGCATACAGTATTTCTTTGTTTGTCACGCCTTTGACATTCTCGTCGCGGATGACGTCGCCATTGTCAGTGTCGTATGTAATCCGTCGTTCCACAGTATTCCATGTGGGTCCGCCTGATGTAGTAGTACGGAAATTGTTGACCTGTTTATCCTGTCTTGTCCACACTCTCAATGCAGCACGATCACGAATCTCACGGGCTCGTTTAACGTCGTTGGCGTAATCGATTTCTTTCTTTTGCTGTCCACGGGAAAGTGTTTTCCAATGCTCGGGAAGAACGTGATCAGGACGTGTCGTAGTCTGCACACGTGTCTCGCGTCCACGAACCACCATTTTGCCGTCTGGCGTTATTTTTGGAAGCTCATAGAACTGAATCGTGCCTGTCCACGGCTCGCTCAGCTCCCTGTGGTCGTTGGCGCTAACACCATCCCAAACATCTCGGAAGTTACTTTCGCCCTCGAACGTAGAAGTCGTTTTGAAATCTCGTGTCACGTCGAGTTGGTCAACAGGTACTGGTATATTCATGACGTCGTCCGTTGGGATGAATAGTTTCTTTCTTGGGGTACGAATGTGTCTGATGACGCAATATCCACGCTGTTCCCAGTAGTCTGGCTCCGGCGCTGGTGCAGCAACTTCAGAAGCCGATGTCTGGATATCAATAGCGTTATCTTCCTTCGTCATCATAGACGGATCATCCCATTCTTTAGGGTAAGAAAGTGGAGGATCAGGCATTGGCTTGTCACCCAAGGGGCGAGAAGTAGATGCCTTCACCTCGTCGTGTGCCTCAGGGTTATGATGTCGTAGAGTACCATCTTTCACGGGGTAGGTGAACTTGCCATCGGGGATGATGATGTCTTTGACTCTGTGCACATGACACAGATCACCATCAGGGTTCTTGGCGTATGTAGCCGTGTCCAAAACAAGGTAGTCACCTGACCATCGTCCACCAGAGTGTAAGTGGTACCCCATGAATAACCCTTCCCGAGTATTTTCTTTAAATTTTGCAGTCTCGTTGTTAATCTCGGGGTTGAGGCATTTCCAAAATATCCGAGCACCGAATGGTATGCAGTGCCCAGGAAAGCTTTCGCCAAATCTTATTTCATGAGCTGTCTTTTCTGCATGCTCCTCGTTGAGGGCAGCGACGCCCGTGGATGTATGCACAAAGTTGTGTCCACAGCAAAAGGCTTGCATGGCCTCTTTCCACCATTCGTGTCCCAGACCAGACATATGTAACACAGCTCTGGTACCAAGGATGACAATTTTGACAACGCGCTCAATCAATCCATTTGTCTGTGGACGATGTGGCGTACTCGTGTCGTGTCTCCATCCCAATTGGCGGCAAGCTTTCTGAAGCTCTCCAGAATTGTCTGTGTAGATATGCTTCACCTCATCGTTCGCGGCGATGAACTGTTGAAAGGATGCCTTTGTAGTAGCTGCGTCTTTGTGTAGCGCTGGGTAGGCCATGAAGATGCCAGTATATCTGTCAAGGACAACAAGTGCATATTTGTCGCCATGTTTGTCCGCGGCATCGTCTTTGGCCAGTACGATATGGTCGGCAGTTAGAGCTTCACCGAACTTCTTCGGGACAAAAGGTTCGTAGGCGTTATCCTCTTCGGTGGCGTCTGCCGGTGGATGTGGTTTGTGCTGTCGTCTACACGGGGCATTCTGTGCCATCGTACGAGAACAGATCTCACAGTCGGGATGTTTTGGGCTGTGAGTCATGTAATGCATCGGGTCGATCGGTTTCT